CAAGCGTATGATACTGAAGAAGGGCAGGAATAGTTACAGTGTCTGTGCTCGAGTCGTTCGAGGTGACAGACCTCACTTGACCACAGCAAACAGTAAAGGTTAAGTCGGTTTTAAAGTAAGTGAGATAAAAAGAAAGTCTTTAGAAGAACGACAGCTAAAATGATCATTTATTTAAAACTGGATTTAATAATCCATCACAGTTCCTTATGAATGTGGTGTCAGAATCATCTCAGTACTGCCACCTGAAGGGCAAAACACACACAACATCCTGCTGCTGTCCCCTGGGCAAATAAGGCCAGGAAACACCCCTGGAGCCCGTCCATGTTTACTTTGATTGTTCTGGCTGACGACATTTGAGCTCATTATGCAACAACTGTGGACCTAGAGTGGCGAGAAGATGATGATAATTGTCTCGATTATGAAACACATGGTTTCAACTTGCAGTCGCCCAAAATAGCAGCACAAATAGTTTCATCTCCTTAAGGAGGAGCAGTCTGAATAGGAGGTCTAAAATAGAACCTGGCAGAAAGTGGTGATGATGATGTTGAGGTACTAGATTGAAACAAATATGTTAATCCCTGGGGACTTCTGTGTGGTCCTAACCTCACTTACAATAAAGCTGCCAAAGAAATTAGGCGTAGGCGTGTGTGTGTGTGTGTGCGTGCGTGCGTGCGTGCGCGTGCGTGCGTGCGTGTGTGTGTGTGTGTGTGTGTGTGTGTGTGTGTGTGTGTGTGTGTGTGTGTTTTGCCACTTCAAGCATTGGTCTAAACCAGTGGTTCCTAACCTGGGGGTCCCGACCCCCACAAGGGGGCGCCAAAGCCTCTCAGTGGGTCGCCAGGACCTCTCCACTTTAAGGGGTTAAAACTTCATTTATTACTTGTTTATAGCCTACATTTTGCTCACATTTTTTTCATGAGTGAAAAGTTTACTGATATTAAGACAGGAAATAATTAGTACAGAAAAAGTAACACACTTTAAAGAACATTTTGCTCAGCTCACTGTTTTATTTTCAAGTGTCAAAAGGTCATTAAAGATAGGACTGGTTGATTAATCACAGCCTTTACAGTAAATAATCTAGTATAAACAGTAATATACACATTTAAGTACATTTTGCTCAGTGTATTTTTTATGTGTCAAACATTTATTGAAAGGAATGATTGATTTATCAGTGTTTACAAGAAACAATGTGTTCAGAAAAGTTATACAAACTGTCAAGCACATTATGCTCTGTTTGGTTTTGTTAATGACTTTGTTCTGTACTGGAGCCTACTATTACTGTTATCTATTGAATCAAAGCATATTAAAATGTGCTTGAACAATTGTATCATTTCTTAATACTGTTTGTACTGGAAGAGAAAATAGGAGGGGGTCGTCAAAAATTTTACTGGTAAAAAACGGGTCCCTTAGGAAAAAGGTTGGGAACCACTGGTCTAAACAACCTGACCTGTGTGTCCTGTAGGAACATTTCACCCATGGCCTGAACGCACTCCTTCCTTCTGCTCCGCGTAAACCTGAAAAGGTCGACAGGTCACCTGCTTGTGCGTATTGAAATGACTCTAAAGGTGCTTTCTGAGCTGAAGAGGATTTAGACTTTTGCCTCAGACAGGCTCATGGATGCGTTGCAGGGTCGCCACATTGGGGACAAGAACAAGCGCTATTCAGCCAAAGTTTCATAATCAGGAAACATTTCTAAGTGACAAGTCTGTCTGAGAGACAGGGTGTGGAAAACACTCGCTTCAGTGAGAGGAACCTTCCTGCATGCGCTGACAGGGAGCTGCGCTGAGCTTGATTGATTTAGCTACCTAGGGATGTCCCGTTCAGATATCAGAAGTAATTCAATGTCGGCCCAAAGAACAATATCGGATTATATCGGACTGCATCAAAAATCTCCGATGTAAGCAGTCCATTAAAGTATCTTTCCAGAGTCTCATCATGTACTACATCTTTTTCTTGCTAAGCACGCCCCCTGCCCCGCAGACCTCTGTGCAATAGAAAACTGAGCGCCGACCAGAACTAACCGGTGGCGTTGGACTACTGCTTACGTGCTTCAAATGTAAGGAATACCGCACAGACAAGTACGTCTCTAAAATGTAACTATAGGAAAACACAACATGACATGGGAATAATACTTGTAAAACAATGTGTTTTAGTTCTGTTTGTCGGTGTCACGTTGAGAGGATGGTTTGGACCCAAAAAGCAGTAACCCAGGATGACACGAGGCAGAAGTGGATATGAAGTAAAAATCCTTTTATTTTAGGAGGCTGGGCATAAATCCAAAGGCAAATGCTGGCAAAAGGCAAAACAGAAGCTCTTTCATGAGCAAGATGAGGCGAACACTCGAGACGGACAAAACAACACTGACAACAACAATGGACCGACAAGACACTGAGACAAGACAGGGCTTAAATAAACTGGGGCATGATGGGAGGCAGATGAGCTGCAGGTGTGTGGGGAGAGGACCAGGTGAAAGCAATACTTAATCAGGGAGGGAACTCACATGACCGAAGAGAAAACCTAAAAACAAGAAAAGCAACCACATAACTAATATTCTAAAGGGAAGGAGAACTACAAAGACTGGTGGGACAAAACATATAAAAGACTACTAAAATGAAAAGCTGAAACTATAAACACTGCAGAGGGGTGACTGGAGAAGACTAAAGGAACACAGGACCTGAGAGATATATTTGGAAGGCTGAAAACCAGGGGACAAATGAGGAACACCAAGATTAACATAAATGAGATGCAGACAAAGGACACATGAGGGCGCTATGAAACACAAAAGGAGAACCTGGAGTGGGAACTGGAGGGGCTGGGGAACAAAGGGACACAGAACATGACAGTCGGTTACAGAAGGATATAAACTAGAAACGTGAAGTCGCCATCTTAAAAAAAACTGAAAAAGAAATCATTTGTGTGATATGCTTGTCAGCCACTAGATGGTGCCATCGGATAAGAGAAACTTTCCAGAAAGAGACTTTAAGGTTCACATTTCTGCAACCAATGGTTAAAAAAGTAGTCATTTTTTTCATACTTACTGTTAATTGCTCTTGTTCTCCGATTGAGTAATATCACTTGATCAAGCCTTTCACACATTCCACACCATGAAAAAAGTAAAAGTATGTATGATTTTTGCTGATATCGTTTCAGAGTGACATCAGTATCGGTCAAAACTGAAGGCTGCAATATCGGTATCGTGTTGGAAGTGAAAAAGTTGGATCGGGACATCCATAGTGCGTAACAATTAAAATATCCACGCATCTGCATGCCTCGAGGTAATTCTTTCAAAACAACCAACAGCCTTGAGGTTTCTCCGTCAAATACAGGAAATATCCAGTCAGTGCCAGCCCTGCTATTTAACTGCCTTGCCTTCTTGTGAAGATTGTTGCAAAGAGAAAAATTAAACACCAGAGCCACGTGCACTGAGCTGTTACCTCCATCACTGCATGAGGGGAAAAAACAAATTGATCAGATCCTTTTCTTACATTTTCAACATTGTTCAATTTAAAGTTTCATCCAGTACAAAATTTAACTGCAACAATCCAACAAGACAGAGCCTGGATTTGTATTCTGAACAGTTTAAATGTGTTAAAAGGAGAAGTGTGGTAAAAAAATGGCACCTGTTCAACTATTAAAACTACAGTGAAAAATATCAAAATATTGTAGGCACAGATGGGCTACAACTTCTGAATCAATTTTATACAAACTGTTTTATTGATTATCTTCTGTTTAAGTTAACTTTGAAGTACATGAGCGACCAGTATTGGTTGCTGTCACCTGTTGGTTGAAGCAGCTCTCGGCTGTCTTAGGGTGGGCCCAAGCCTGGTAGACCCACCCACAACACCGTGGCTGCTGTGGCTCAGTGTTTTCTTCACTGTTGGAAACAGGTAATAATGGCTCTTTAATGGGAAAAGGTTGCCGACCCCTGGGCTATACAAACAAAGGCCATTTTCCATTTAAATTACACACATCTTTTTAATAAATATGTTACTAAATGAAAGTTTTAAAGGCGTAGAAAACTTGTTTAAGCAATGCTCTATAGGAATGAATGCCTAGTAAGTCACTCTGGAGGAAAATGCTCTGGTGCACCTGTTTCAGGAACTAGAAGTGAGCTAGTCACAGTTGAGCTTCAGGCGGCAGGATTTGGAATCTTATTTCCTGATATTTGGATATCTTGCCTTTAATTGGATAACAGCAATTCAACTCTATCACTGACCCTGTTTGCTCTGTAGCATTGATGATTTATCTCCACAAATAACACAAGCATGAGGTAAAAAAGTAGGAAGCCAGGCAGCAGTTTTGCGTAGGATTGAGAGGAGATGCAGGAAGACACAGACAGGATAGGAAAATAGTCAAAAACAACAAAACAAAACAAAGTGCTTGAAAAGGAAAAGGTAGGTAGATTTATCCCTATAAAGCAATCATTTATGGGTATGGAATATTTATATATTTCATATTATTCAGATCACCTTCAAAACTCAGTTTCAACACCGTTTCAAGGTATCTTGTGGGCCAAGGCAAAATAGATCACTCCAAACACACACACACACACACACACACACACACACACACACACACACACACACACACACACACACACTGGGCTCCCCCCGATACCTAATTCGTACCCTGTCAGAAGCTAATGTAGCAGATAGCTGTAGGAGACTATTTTCACATTCAGCCTGCATGAAAAACTAAGAGTAATTGATCATAATCAGAAATAATCATTAAAATGTTTTTTCAGTGAACCACACCTTTTTATATGATAGCAATTTACCACAATCATGCAAAATCAAAAAAGATGTAAACCATAAATGCTTGAATGAAGGAAAGTCACAACCAATACAAGTCTGCTTAGTCTCAGTCTGGGGGGGTGCCACCCTCTCCCCTGAGTGGCGCTTTGCATAGTCCAACAGGCTGCTCGCAGAGTACGTTTCACCCAAATCAGCAGCGTGTATTATTAGCCTTGTGCAATATCAAGCACTTTTGCATGGGCCCACACTTGGTCTACCATTTAAGCATCTTCGTTTATGTACATAAAAATAGAACAGCTCTGTCTACTGGACACATTTTTTCAACCGACTTCTTTGCACACAGTGTCCATTACATGTCCTATGCATCATATTTCGGGTGAGCGAATAGTATATAAGCTGCAGAGAACGGCTGAGGGGGTCCACTGCAGTCGGCAGATTCATCTGAGCGAATCCTCTCTAAACTTAGAGATAACTTCAAGGTGAGTTTCGCAGGAGAGCTGCAGACCTGAGTCTGACTCGAAGGGGGTTTCGCCGTCATGCATTGGGACTAAAAGAGCTCAAAGAGGTCCAGATTCTGAACATAAACGGCCCAGTTTTTGGACTAAAACAAAGAAACCAAATGGAAAAAAAGTACTTGTAAAGAGGACTTGGTTTTTGTTTTGGAAGGCTTGGTTTTTGGATAAACCTGGACTACTTTTACTCATCGTTGGAGTACAAACATGGACCATGAATTTAATCTCTAAAGATTACCTTGTAGCTCTGTACTGCTGAGGGTTTTTTGTACTAAAGTGCATTGAGAGAACCTTTAGACTCAGAGTTAAAAGTGTTTCCTCCTGACTGATTTGGTGAGCTGATGATTTTTCCTTTGCTCTTCTTCCTCAGTTAAAAATGGCATTCGCCGGACTTCTGAGTGATGCTGACATTACTGCAGCCCTTGCAGCATGCCAAGGTAAGCCCGGCAATGACACCACACAGCATCGGATTACTTTAAATGTAGTTAACTTTAATCAATTGCAAAAAAAATTAATAAATAGCGAGTTATTGGATTCGTTTTTCAAGACAGAGTGCTCTGTAAAGTGTTAGTGTTGCTGCTGTAAGACAAGCAGCTCCACAAGCAAATGTTACCAGTTGAATTAGTGGATCAGTGAAAAACAAAAGCCAATCTTTGGAAACCAGCGTACCAGGAATGTAGCCTAGAATTTAGACCATCATTTGCCGAATCAAAATAACTTTGCTCTGCATTGCCAGTCTACCAAACATGCACAATTCAGTTGGTTTGTGACTCATTTGCTGACCCTCATCTTCTCACAGCTGCCGACTCCTTCAACCACAAGGAGTTCTTTGCCAAGGTCGGCCTGGCTGCCAAGTCTGCTGATGACGTCAAGAAAGCCTTCGCCGTCATTGACCAGGACAAGAGTGGCTTCATTGAGGAGGAGGAGCTTAAGTGAGAAACTTCTCTTAGATTTCACACTAAACTCATCAACTACTTATCCTGGGCCAAACTTATAAAGAATTCATGAAGATTTTGTTGGCCAAAAAGAATAATATATATATATATATATATATATATATATATATATATATATATATATATATATAATCTACAAAATTTCAGTTAATGATTTAAAAGCGCAATTATGTCCTAAAGTTCATTTTATTATTGTGAGACTTAATATTTCTTGTTGTTTCCTCCTCCAGACTGTTCCTGCAGAACTTCTCTGCCGGTGCCAGAGCTCTGACCGACGCTGAGACAACGACCTTCCTGAAGGCCGGTGACTCTGATGGTGATGGCAAGATCGGAGTTGATGGTGAGAACATTAACTCATCCAGATCTAAAGGCTCTCCACTGCCTACAAAACAGCATCCTACAATCTGAGGAGTTTCTAAAAACTAATTAGTGCCTTAAAACTTTAAGCTAATCTAACTAAGCTAAAAGTGGAGCAGATGCCTTTCTTCTACCACATGCTAATTGACAATAAGTCACTCTGATGATGATAAATTAATTCTTTGTTTTCCTCCCTTTGCAGAGTTCGCTGCCATGATCAAGGGTTAAATGAACAAACTGACCAACATCTGACTTCAACTCTCAAAAGGAACAACTTGAGCCAAGACGACTCTTTTTCTCCCTTTCCCATTCACTCTTTCTCTCTAGTAGACTCTCTGAAACCACTTTTATACACATGACCTTTAACCCCCGACCAGACAACACACTGTTTCTCTCTCCCAGGCAGTGCTCACCCCAGTGCTATCCACGATGAGTGGGCCTGACTAAGTGTATGGCGTGGCTGACTTGTGTCTTTCTCTCTCTCTCTCACTCTTCTGTCGTCGTTTTACTGTGTGGGATTTGCATGCCACGAGATCAACAATGATGCACTTTTATGGAAAACGGACGGACGATGAGAAAACAATAAAGGTTCTTTTTCAATAACAAATGCCTGAAAGTGGTCTTTAATGGTTGGGAACAACTACATCAGCCATAGCCTAGCAGCTAATAGCTGCTTCAGTATGCAGAAGGGAAACAGTTAGCTAGGTGCCTCAGGAGTTGGCTTCAGTGTTAAAACAAAACTTAGAATTTCTAACAATGTTCAGATCTGTGAAAAAATTAAGGTTGGACTCAACTGATCTTAAAATCAACTAAAATAATATTCAAAAATAGCCAAAAGACTAAAAGCCTGTTTATTCTGAGCTTCCAGGTAGCCTTGCACAGCCGTTCAAGCAGCTGTGACATGAACATGTTTGTGGGATACTGTTTTCAAGCCAAATGTGCTAGTAGCACTGTTACCTAGCAGCAAGAAGGTTGAATCCCAGCTATGGTCTTTCTGCGTGGAGTTAGCATGTTTTCTAGTGATGTGACGTTCATGAACGAATCAAATCTTTTGAACGAGTTTTCAAAGTGAACGATGAGAGCCGAGTTCCTGTAGAGAGCCGTTCGTCTTGTCATCCGGTAGCAAACCTTCCTGGAAGTCGGTAAAGCGCACCCGCTCAGCCCCCACCCACCGTTGTGACGGACGTCGGAGGAACACGATCCGACCACCGTGTGCCCTCACAGACTTCGCTTTGTTCAAAGAAGTCAGTCTTTTGAGCAGCTCTACGACCGACGGCTCCCATGGAAGAGCCATAAATCACATCACTAACATGCATGTGTGGTTCTCAGGCTTCACACACACACACACACACAGACCAGAAATATACATATGGTTACTGGAGACTCTAAAGCATCCCTTGTTGTGAATGAGTGTCCACATTTCCAGGCTTCTGCCTCTCCATGTCTGCTGGAGTTAGACACCATCTCCCAGCAACACCACTAAAGAGGAAGTGGTCAAGAGGATGAATGAGTGAGTGTTCATTAGCTTTACAATGAGTGTGTTTTTTAAAGAAAACAGAATATGAGAAATATTGAATTGATGCTTAAGACATTTTGCACGTTTGGCACAGAACACCAACTTTAAAGTGTCCCTGTTTTAGTTATCCAAATGAGAAAATAACCTTCAGAATGAACATTTAGTAAAATATAAAACTTTAAACCAAAGATTGACGCCATGGGTGCATCTAAAAGATTGTACTGGGGTGATGCAAACACAATGGTTGAAAGGGTTGTCTCCATCTGGACTACTAGCTTCTCTTTTATAGCATGTCAACTTTAAAATCACTTTACTGTTCTTTTTCTTTGTCAGTCAGATTAAAATCTCTCCTTGTGTTAGGTCGGTGCTGCTAGGAAACAGCCACCAGATGGCACCCAAAAGCCATATTAAGGATTTTATGTTTACATTGAGATAAAGGCTTTCTGTTTACTAAAGATGTTTGAGGTAAAGGTAGATGTGAGTCCATGACGAATTAAAGAAAAGATAGTGAGATTAATTTCCATGGATCTCATTAAAAAGCAGCTTCTGCTCCCTCTGAGCTGCTGTCTTTAGGGCTGATGGGGCCCCACCCATCCTCGCACCTAAAACATCTGTCTCAGGTAGGTGGGCACTCACCCTAACCCTGTCTAACCCTAACCCACTCACTCGCTCGCTCACTCACTCTCTCTCCAAACTGCTTCATCCTCAGCAGGGTGAGTCATCAGGGGAGAGGCGGGGGACACCCTGGACAGGTCTCCAGTCCCTCACAGGGACAGACAACCAGTGACACACCCACTCACATTAAGGGACATTTTGGAGTATCTAATTAACTTCACATGAATGTTTTTGGTCTGCATAGGAAACTGGAGCACCCTGAGACCCCCCACCCCCCACCCCACACACACACACACACACACACACACACACACAAGGAAAACATGCTAAAGCATGTAGAGATCCTGCAGTTGGGACTCAAACCTGCAGCCTTCTTGCTGCAAAGCAACAGTCCTACCATCTTCACATCTTCACTAGCTATAGGTGGGTGCATGCTAACAATTTTAAAGTGTTTTTATTGATATTACAGGCTTAAAGGTGACTTTCCAGTTTAAATGAAAACAGTGTGTCTTGGTTGCAAACATTTCCTGTTGATTATTCTAAAGTTACTGTTACAAACTGTGATCTAATGTGACAATCTCACAATTATGATTCTCATGGTGTCATCATGTCTGCCTTTTGCATATGATGATGATGTTGTTCTATCTGTGTTTTCAAGCCAGGACCTTCTGGGTGCAACGGAGCAGTTTGCAGCTGATTCTGAAGCAGCATTCAGAGTCAGCCCCCAAGGCAATGGTGCACAGAGGTGTAACCAAGTCACTACTTTGCAAGTCACAAGTAAGTCACAAGTCTTTCCAGTCAAGTCTCAAGTCAAGTCCAAGTCAAAGACAACCAAGTCCAAGTTGAGTCCAAAGTCAATGATGTGGAAGTCCAAGTCAAGTCCAAGTCCTTAACTTTAAATTTTTAAGTCATATTAAAGTCATCTGTCCAACTTCTATTTAATGACAATGATAATAAATAAATTCCAGAAATAAAACTTCTTAAAGCTTCATTTATTTGCTCAAACAGCAGAAAGTGCAACTGAAACTGATTATAAACAAAGTGCTGCTGCAGTTAGCAGAACAAGATCAAACCCAGAACCAAGAATGATTTATGATTTTTGTCCATGTCGGGTCACTTTTGTGCTAAAACATAAAATACGCTCAAGTCATCATCAAGCCAACAGATGCAAGTCGGTTCAAGTCGCAAGTCATTGGCTTCAAGTCTGCGTCAAGTCGTAAGTCTTTATAGATTTTATCAAGTCAAGTCAGAAGTCATTAAAATAATGACTTGAGTCTGACTCGAGTCCAAGTCGTGTGACTCGAGTCCAAACCTCTGATGGTGCATACTGGGAATAGGTGGAATTGTGGCTGGCCACTAGTCATTTTTACCCAAGTCAGACTGAGGCACTGATTTAATTACATTCATTACTACATTGATGCCTGTGTGCTTTGGCCACTTGTGTGTGTGTAGGTTTCTACCCACAGTGCACTGCAGTTTGTTGGAGTGGCAGAATTAAAGCGTGTGGGTAAATCTTGCCCCTGGGTCATCTACGACTCCTCCACAGAGGTCGGGAGTCTGTCTCTGCCTTAAACAGTGGAGTTTAAGAACTTTGGTGACAGGGGGAGAAGAATCTTGGTGAGAGAGGTAAAGAAGAACCCAAATATCACTGTGGCTGAGCTCCAGAGATGCAGTCAGGAGATGGAGAAAGTTGAAGAAAGTCAATCATGACTGCAGCCCTCCACCAGTAAGGGCTTTATGGCAGAGTGGCCTGTTGGAAGCCTCTCCTCAGTGCAAAACACATGAAAGCCCACATGGAGTTTGGTACAAGACAACTGAAGGACCCTGAGATGGTGAGAAATAAGATTCTCTGGTCTGATGAGACCAAAATATAACTTTTTGTCTTTAATTCTAAGTGGTACGTGTGGAGAAAACCAGGCATTGCTCATCACTAGTCCAAAAAAGTTCTCACAGTGAAGCATGGCGGTGGCAGCATCATGCTGTGGGGTGCTTTTCAGCTGCAGGGACAGGACGACTGGTTGCAATTGAGAGAACGATGAATGCGGCCAAGAACAGGGATATCCTGGACAAGAACATTCTCCAGTGCTCAGGACCTCAGACTGGGCTGAAGGTTTACCTTCCAACATGACAAAGACCCGAAGCACACAGCTAAAATAACGAAGGAGTGGCTCAGCCAGAGCCCTGACTTAAACCCTGTTGAACATTTCTGGAGAGACCTAAAAAGGGCTGTCCACCAACGTTCACCATCCAACCTGACAGAACTGGATCTGCAAGGAGGAATGGCATCCAGGTGTCAGAAACTTGTTGCATCTTTACCAAGAAGACTCACGGCTGTATTAGCTCAAAAAGGATGCTTCTGTTAAATACTGAGCCAAGGGTCTGAATACCATGTGATATTTCAGTTTTTCTTTTTTTAATAAATCTGCATACATTTATAAAATTCTGTGTTTTTTGAGTAAATATGGTGTGCTGTGTGCATTCACGCCATCTCTGTCCACATTTAGGAGATCATTCACTGTAGCTGTAGAGGAAAGGATCCTGATTGAATTTGAGAATCACCTACAGGGAGGGAGGGAGGGAGGGGGTGGATAGGTGATCAGGGCGGGGAGAGAGCAGCTGAACACAAAAAGTTGATTGGATGAAAACCACCCAGTGACATAAAGGGAGAGAAGAGGCAGTGATGGTGCTGTGCTTGGATTTAAACAGTAAAGGTTAATAAGACAGGTGAGCTATTGGGGAACTCGAGAAGCAGGCTGCTGAGGCTGCAGGAGAATTTGATCCGCAGACACTTTGGAAACTCAAGCCTCCTTGAGCACATCCAGCCCTGAATATATAAGGCAACAATCAGCAGCCACTGCAGAGTTTTATCTTTTGCTGCTGCTGCTGCTGCTTTGGACCTGGACAGAGAGGAGCACATATCTGTGACAGAGGTGAGTCCCACGGCATCGCGGGGAAACCCTCAGTGCACGAGGGAGTGCAGGTATCACAGGAACTAGTGTTTAGCTGCAGCTTCAAACTAATCAACCTGTTTTTCAGCTTAATGTGGAATTATTAGTCATTGCACTAAAATCTGCCAAAGTGTTGATGCAGAAGAGCTAAAAATATCAACAATATTAAGAGTAAAAAAAGATGCTGTAAAACTGTTTTAACTGTCACACAGTTCACTCGTCCTACAATAAAAAGGACTAAAAGTTAAAGTCAGCACAAGGGGGGGCGACTCGTTAAAACTTTTCACAAGATTTCATTTTTGAGTTCCAGTGACTGCATCAACTCCACAGGTGGATTTGGATGTTTCTATTCTCTGATTTATTACGTTCTGCTCTGCCTGTCTGGATCTCAAATAAGTAGCAATTGGTCTGCAATTAAATCATTAAAGAGAGATTAAAAACTCTCAGTGGTTAACAAGCTGCCAGGAGAAACCTGATCACAGAGCACAACCATCTGAGCAGAAATCCCAACAAACCTGTCGTAGTTTTCCCTTCATTTAGGTGTGTTTTAGTGTTATTTATGTAAAATAATACATCATTTAGTCAGCCGTCATCATCTCAAGCATAAACAGTGACAGGAATTTTGATGGGACCATAATATTAACCTACATACACCTGCATCTGAGGGACAAGTTAATCCGTCAGGATGCCAGAATGTGTGTGTGTGTGTGTGTGTGTGTGTGTGTGTGTGTGTGTGTGTGTGTGTGTGTGTGTGTGTGTTATTTATTTACACAGTATTTCTTTTAACAGAACCGACATGTCACTCTCTTCCATCCTGTCAGCTGAGGCCATCGAGAAAGCCGTCAAGGACTGTGAAGGTAGCAGAAAACCAACAAGCATCTTATACATATGTTTCAGTTCATTTTCCTCACAGGACCTAGCTTTTATTTGGAAAATGGACGTTTTAAATCATATTAAAATGACAATAACCTTAAAGTAACTCACCATCTATGACTTGAAGATAATCCTCTCTGCAGATGAATTATTTGATGAAGTCAGAAAGTCAACGTCAGTTTTAAATCTGAATTTGGAAGGCTTTGAATCAGTGTATTAGTTTTAGTTTTAAGAGATAAAACACACAATGGTTCATCTCAACACAGGATGCTAACAGGGTGACCTTCAGATCATCTCACACTCTATGTGTGTGTATGCATGTGTGTTTCCAGCTCCGAACTCCTTCTGCCACAAGAAGTTCTTCCAGCTCTGCGGCTTGTCCTCTAAGACGCCCAAGGAGGTCAGGGATGTCTTCCAGATCATCGACGAGGACAACAGTGGCTACATCGAGGAATCTGAGCTCAAGTAAAAGTGATAAGTGGAATCTTTAACTGCTGTGTCCTCTAGTTTGTCTCATAACTTTTTAAAGTCTTTAAATGAATCTGTATGTAGTATTATGTTACTGGGTTAGGATGTATCCATCATGAGTACAGTGTTTATTTTTGTGTTATATAATTCACCTTGTGCGATGAGAGCTCAGGGCTGACTGGGGATTTGTGTGTGTGTGTGTGTGTGTGTGTGTGTGTGTGTGTGTGTGTGTGTGTGTGTGTGTGTGTGTGTGTGTGTGTGTGTGTGTGTGTGTGTGTGTGTGTGTGTGTGTGTCCAGGTTCTTCCTGCAGCGGTTCGTCCCCGGAGCGCGAACTCTAAGCGAAGCAGAAACCAAGAAATTCATCTCAGCAGCTGATGATAACAGCGATGGCAGAATTGGAGCAGACGGTCAGTATCTGATTTCTGATGTTATGTTGGAGTAAAGTCACGGTGAGGCACAAGTCACCTCACTAGCTGGACTGAAACGTGAAATTTAAAAACTCCTGAAGCACTTCTAGATGTTATGAATTCTTAAGGATTCTGACAGGAAGAAACATTCTTTGGCGCAATTTCACCTTTTGTCTAAGAAAGACGTTTGTCTTGGGTAATCTGATCAGAGAGAGAGAGAGAGAGAGAGAGAGAGAGAGAGAGAGAGAGAGAGAGAGAGAGAGAGAGAGAGAGAGAGAGAGAGATGTCAAAAGGAGATGACACCAGTCTGTTTATTTCATGTTTTTGCTGAATATGTATTTTGAATAACATACTCATTTTCCATTTCCTCTCCAGAATTCCAGACTATGGTCCTGTCCTGAGTTTTCCAAGTTTAATACGATCTTCACTGATTCCCCAACATCTGATGGTTGCTTCTATTCCCAGGAATTTCAGTTGCTTTCTAATAAACTCTGTGTGCGTTAATCATTTTTTAATTACTTTCTGTCATTGTAACGCCTTCTAATGTGTCTTGACATTCCTCTTGTCTATGAATGGCATGAATAAACATAAACAAATGGAAGCAGAGCATTGATTCGTTTGATGCCTTTAACCTCTTAATGCCTGAAATATGAATCAATAATTTTACTAAATATGTTTTTAAATAAGTCATTTATTGTCTAATGTTAACGGAATAATTATATATGCATCAATTATTTACTATGTAATTGTGGAACAATGTAACAGTAATAATTGTCCCTTCCCGCGGTAGATCCTCCACCAGAGGGCAGTAGGCATGTAAAAGATGTGGCAGGTTTCTGATGAAGGTGCAATCATGATGCACCATCTGGAGGCTTTAAGGCCAGCGGTTCATTTGTTTGTCCAAGTTGCTTTGTTGCGTTTAATCTCAAAGGGGGCTGGAGCAAGAAGAGGGACACACCCTGTGGACAGGTTACTTGGACCAGGACCAACCCAGGGCAAACCATTGAGATATAGGACACAAACATCAGAGTCACAGAAAGCGTTTTCTACCGATTTTGAAATAGAGAATCTGATAGAATATTTTTATGATGTGATGAGAGCCCGAGGTGGTTCTAAGGCACACCCAGGGTGGGCCAGCTCTACCATGACAGGGTGACAGTGCTGAAAAATAACACAAACATCAAGATATTTGCAGAGAATAAAATAGCATTGATTTTCCAATAAACAAACAATTCAGCATCACTATTCAATTGAATTCAGTTTATTTATATAGCGCCAAATCACGACAAGAGTCGTCACAAGGCTCTTCACAAACTGAAACATTCCAATACAGTTCAGTTAATTATGACAATTAGTAAAAAGTTTCCTATAGAAGGAACAGAATGCATCGAGTCACTGACTAGTTAAACCTGCATATCCATGGCCCAGGTTCCCTCAAACTAAAGTGGTTAAGGTGAATACCCGATGGTGAATACCTGTAAATACCCTCCCCCAACACACACACACGCGCGCGCGCGCACACACACACACACACGCGCGCGCGCGCGAATACTGGGGTTCTCAAATGCAAAAATGCAAAACACTAATAAGAGTTCTGCAAAATTCTTTACAGAGGTTGACATTTTTTATTTATTTTTTGTTTTAATACATTTAGAGACTGGAGCAGGCTCAGCAGAAATAACCAGACTGTAAATGTGTGTTGTGTCTGCTGAGCATGCTTGATCTTGTAGTAGAGTAACTAGAGACTGTTCACAAGTAATAGTTTAATTCATAATATTGTACTTCGTGGTGTTACAAATTACAGTGCAGTAAGAATACTCCAAACATTACAGTTTCCCAAAAAAAATTGTCATGTAAATGCAACTGATCAAACGTAAGTAGTTACTTGTACCTCTGTAGTTCCTATGACAGTTTAGTAGGAACCTATAATGAGCTGCAACCCGTCACCCGAACAATCTAACGCGTGACACCGCACTGTCAAAAGCAGGAAGTGAAGAATGTAAAGTACTACAATGTTGGCGGCATCTACTTTTATTGAAGTTTTTATGTTGTTTTCATCTTTAATTCCACATTAATTTCAAGCAGCTGAACGCTTTGAGTGTATTCTCCGTCAGGTGAGTCTTAGCTTTCTATGGAGGTTAAGTTAAGCCTACTGGTGCTAGCAAAGCTAGCTAGCTAGTAGGTGTATGTACAGTCTATGGTTTAACCTGATTTGGTTTCAAGTGGTTTCAGTGTGAGCAGGAGCTAATGTTAAGCACGTGTTAAGCTGCAGCGTCGCTGACGTTTCCGTGTGAAAATAAGTTCGGTTTTTCATCTTGTGTAGAAACAGTGATGGTCTAAAACGTTAATGGTTTGTTCTCTAGGGGTTGTAGTTCAGCTCGCGAGAGTTCACCGGCTGAGACGCAAAGACGAGTCCGGTTTAAAGCTCCCTGTGACCAGGCAGCAAACATTCTTGTTTTCAATTTTATTCAGTTTAAACAAACACACTGGATTACCGTGCTTTCAATATTTAAACCTGCCTTTATGTTTAAAAGGAAATTTAAACTTTCTGGCCTCAACGAAATACAATACTATAAATTGACAATTTTATTCATAGAGGTTTCATATTAGACGTTTTAAATTTTCCTTAATTTCCTGTTCTGCTGCCTGACATGTCGTGATCTGACCTTCATTTCAATTACTTATATTTACCACACATCATGCACATGAGATTAATTTAATTTAGAGTAACTCTTATCTCACTGAGGTCAGCTGTGTGTTTGAACTTTTGCTGGATTTGCAGAGTTCCAAACACACTAAACATGTTTAGGTGATTTGAATAATGCATCTTTCTTCATGACAGTCCAATCAGACTTGTCATAAAGGTCTTATTTAAACATTCAGTGTGTTCTGGTATCTGCAGGCACACGGCATGCTAACCCAACAGTCACCAGAGCAAAGGAAGTCCAGACACAAGTCCCACTAATGCTCATGATAAGGTAAGCTGGATGACTGACATGGGTGTAGGCTGGGATTTAGGTAGCTTATATCTATTTTTTTTTTTTTTTTTTTTGTGGATTTTGTTTTTCAGTCCCAAAATGGCTTCAGGAGTGCAAGAGAAACAGTACACACCATGTCTTCTGAGTTTTTTCATTTATAACCCTACGTTTGGACCACGAGAAGGAGAGGTGAGGGTGACTCTGCTGCTTCCACCTCAGTCAGAATGCTTTTTAGTATTGTTAGAAAAATTTTTTGTGGTTTAATTTAATTACTGGTTCTTGTTTTTCAGGAGGAGAAAAAGATTTTGTTCTACCACCCTAGTGCTGTTGAGAAGAATGAGAAGATCAGAAACGTGGGCCTTTGTGAAGCCATTGTACAGTTTACCAGGTGAAACAACGCAGTGTAGCTGTTATGGTTTGGCCTTGTTATATTTTATTCTGTTTGTGGCTTCTTCTTTTTTTAAATGTTGGATCAAGTTTTCACCTGTCTGATGGAATAGGGAAACATCATAATGAATGTTTAGACACACTAATAAACACCATAAAAACCTGAAAATGATGAGCTGACCTTCATGTATGGGTCTTTCTCCACCACTTCTTTGTTTTAGGACGTTCTGTCCAACAAAACCAGCTAAATCCCTGCACACACAGAAGAACCGGCAGTTTTTCTTTGAGCCAGAGGAAAACTTCTGGATGGTCATGGTACTTTTACCTTTGGTGTTTGCATTTTTTGTCTGAATCACTCCACATTCATTTATTCATTAATTCCTCAGGTGGTTCGAAACCCAATGATTGAGAAGCCAAACAAAGATGGCAAACCCCCTACGATAGAGTATCAAGAAGAGGAAATACTTGTACAGAGAAATAATTCTATACTTATTCTATTTTTCAAATAAAAATGGTCACTTTTGTAATTTTCTACCATCTTTTCCCTGTTTTAGGACACCGTTTATGGTGCAGTGGTAAGACAATGCTACTGTATGTACAAGGTGAGCTTTATTTCATTAAGGATCGTGTTTAATGGACAGTGAGTGAGTGAGTGAGTGAGTGAGTGAGAGAATAAAAAAGGAGAAAGAGACTGTAACGCGCAATGCTGTAGTTTTTTAGCTGTAGTCAAAAATGGCGTCTGGCAACAGTGCAAACATCTTTTTATTTATTTGTTTTTATTTTTTTTTAGAAGAAAGGCTTTTAGCGTTTCTACTTGTGGTTTTAAAGACATCCAAGTCATTTAGAACAGAGGAAAGGGCCGCAGCGAACTCTGCTTCAGTCGCCATCTTTATGACAAACTGGGCGTTATGGTGTGTGATAGGGATGCACCGATACCTCTTATTTCCAAACCGATACGATACCGATACTTGGATCTGCGTACTCATCGATGCCGATTTCCGATACCGATACTTCCACCACACAAAAAATGCAATGATTTGTAATACAGATTTTATTTTCTTCTCTGCTTTCAACAGGAAACGACTGTGAGGTAGATAAAAAGTAAAATATATGACTGGAAATCAGCACAAAACTAAAATATTAGGTGAACAGAAATGACAAGTTACAGTGAAGCCATTTTCAAGCAACTGCATTGGTATCGGTTCCTGGTATCGGTTAACTTTTACAGATACTGGTGTTGGTATTGGTATCGGCACCGATACCAGTATCAGTATCGGTGCATCCCTAGTGTGTGATGTAAGCTACTCAGCGCTGATTGGCTCGGTTAGAATTATCACGGGGTGGGGTTATTTGAATAGGAGAGTTCCCAGAGCCTTTCTCTGCGCAGAATTAAACAGAGGAGGCGTCTGGCAGGCCAGGCTAGGAATGGCCAGGGCTACAATGGAGCATGGCTAAACCGACCTGCAGAGCTAAGCCTTTTGCCACAGTTGGTCTAGATTTCTAGGCCATTATTCACATAGATTTCTTCTGATATTTACAAGCAAAGAGATCACCAGATCAGATCACCGATCTCTGTAGGGGGAGAAGCCCTGGTGCTCCTGTCTCAATAAGTGGGAGTTGGAGGAGAGGGGAGTGGAAAACAGCAGGATTTGGAGTCTTACACTGTATTATTTCCTGATGTTTGGACGTCTTGCCCCATTGGCTAACAGCAACACAACTCTACCTACGACTCCTTTAGCTCTGCAACATTGATGTTTTATCTCCACAAATGACACAAGCCTGAAGGAGTTCTGCCATGTTGCAGATTTGCTAACGGTTAGCTTCTACTAGCAGAGACGTGCTCTGCTGTTTGCTGGTTGTTAAACCAACAACCCGTCGCGAGCCAAGATGAGTGAGTACGTGAAGGCTTATTTTCAGGGTGACGTAGATCTGAGAAGCCTTTCTAATGGGAACGTTACCCCGTCTTTTCCATCAGAAGCTGATGTAGGAGATGGGTGTAGAAGACTTTTCACGTTCAGCCTGCATGTGAAACTCAGAGTAACCGATCATGCACCTGGTCTTTAGGACAGCAGCTGTACACACTTGTCTTGGCTGTGTTCTGACTTGCTGTCAGTTTAGTCCTGTATTGTATGAACTTTCCAAACAGAGGCTGTTCACACAGCTATCTGCAGTAATGATTGTAACTTTACTCCAGAAACACACTTCAAAAGGGTCAAATATTCTTTTAAATGTAAGTTTTTCCATCATTTCTGTCATCCTGTAGCTCTTTAACAGTACGTTTGGTCGGGCGATGGAAGCTGGAGGCGTCGAGCTGCTCATTCAGAAGCTGGAAAAGTTCTTCTACAGGGTAAAATCTGTTCATTCGTTGCTAGGTTGGTGTCTGTTTGGGTTTGTTGTGGAGATCTACAGCAAACTGTCTGGTTTGCTTTTATATTGCTTTAACAGTTGTTAATGAAGAGCCACTAGAGCCTGAAGGTGAGTGTTGTCACACGGGCTGGGATCTGTTTGTGATAGCTGGACTGTGTTTGCAGTCATGCCTGGTTTCTCTGTCCTGTTGTCACTTCTCTGGAACAGCAGAGGGCTTGGCTCAACCACCACTAAACTCTAAAAAATTAACTTCTAATTAGGGAACGCCTGAGTGGGACACAGGGTTCCCTCTCCACGGTGTAACCTAACCCGTCACAGGTTCAGTTTCACTGCCTCTTATCCTGTCAGGGATGCAAGAGTCTGCACATCACATCACTCAAGGGGTTCTTATTCCGCTTCATTTGTTGTATTGTTAACAAGCCCTTGTAGGCTGGTAAACTAACCCCTTTCTCTTTTCCGTCTCCGTTTTCTCTCCCTCTGTGTGTTTTACAGTATCTCCAGACCCTCCACCTGCAGTCCTGCGACCTGCTGGATGTATTTGGAGGCATCAGCTTCTTCCCTCTGGACAAGATGACCTACCTGAAGATTCAGTCTTTTGTAAACCAAGTGGAGGAGAGGCTGAGCCTGATCAAATACACGGCCTTCCTCTACAACGACCAGCTCATATGGTGAGCTTGTCAAGCTAATCCGCTCCCTGACAGAACTGATAACTCCCTCGACCTTAAAACAACCTTTTGCATGCTTGCAATCCTGCACAAGGTTGGAATAAGGATGTGCAAACCCAAAACCGCGTACTGAATAAACACAGGTGGTTCCTAATCCTCTTTGCGTTGCACGTTCTCAGCCACCTGGCTCAGTTTGTAAATACACATCTACTCAGCAAAAAATAACACAGATAGACATTTAGTCTTGTGTTTACTTGTGTGTTTTTGTGCAGGTTTTAAGGGTTTGGCTTTTTGTTATGATGGTTGTTTGCAGGAGTGGTCTGGAGCAAGATGACATGAGGATCCTTTACAAGTATCTGACCACCTCGCTGTTCCCCCGGCACTCCGAACCAGAGGTACTGGGTTTATCTGGGTGGCTTTTGAATGTTACATTTAATGCTACCACCTTTCGTGCTTGATTATGCTCCCTTTAGTGGTAATTACCATTCTTCACACCTGCTTTATTAGAACAGTGGGAGTCACAGCTCTGTGGTCACCTGATTTCAGACTAAATCCTTTTGTTTTGTATTTCCTCTCTGTCCTTTGTAATCCCAGCTGGCTGGCAGGGACTCTCCTCTGAGGCCAGAAGTTGCAGGAAATCTGTTGCACTACGGGAGGTAAATCCTTGATCCGATCTGCGTAGCTACCTGTGTTTGTTTATATCATCCTGCCCTCGTTGCCTCTGCAGAGAGATTCCTCATGCATCAAGAACTACTCTTTGATTGTGCAATTAAGAGTTAAGATCAGGATTCATGTCTGTGTGTACTGTGCATCATGTGATCTCACTGACAGACAGGAACTGACGGGGTGTAAAGGTATCGGGATGCTGCTTCTTTCTGTCTCTGTAACGGAGAAAGTTTGCTCTGGTGTTGGGTGTCTGACATCATTTAGGCCTGCATAGTCCCAGATGAATTAATTAGTGTTTGAACAGGTCCAAGTCTAACTCTGGTGACTCGTCGTGGGACAGGAAATACAGCACGCTCAGATTAGGAATAGAAAAGGGCAAATCTTACATCTGTAATTTGAGCCTTCGGATTTCCTCTCTACTCATCCTTCTGCATCAGACGTTGAAACCAAAGATTTTAGCTGTTGGTTAAAAAGCAAACGCTGAGGGGCTATCAGTAGAGAAAGCACAGGTGTTTGTGTCACTGAGGTCGTGCCTTCATGCTTCAGGTGAAGAGGGAAGCATGACGCGTCAGTCACACGTAATGGAAGGAAGAACATGTGATGTCAGAAAAAGGGCAAACAACTGTCAATCTTCGTGTTCCAGAGACGGTAAACCACAGAGGCAGGCTGTGTCTGCTTCTGTTGCACGAATGTTGTTTTTCATTCAAATCAGGGTCCAAACACCAGCAGGACAAACTTTAATATCAGTTTTATTGATTCTGTCTCAGTATTAGTGTTTGGGTTTTATTTGGTGATGTTTGGACTGGTGTTTATCACGTTAATTTGTTTTCATTAATGATTTTAATTAAAATCTAAACTAACTAAAAACTCGGCATCTTTTTATCTTCGTATACTTCGTATAATGTGTGTGTGTGTGTGTGTGTATATATACACACACACATGCAGGTCCTCCTCAAAAAATTAGCATATTGTGATAAAGTTCATTATTGTCTGTAATGTACTGATTAACATTAGACTTTCATATATATTAGATTCATTACACACAACTGAAGTAGTTCAAGGCTTTTATTGTTTCTAACATGGATGATTTTGGCGTACAGCTCATGAAAACCCAAAATTCCTATCTCAAAAAATTAGCATATTTCATCTGACCAATAAAAGAAAAGTGTTTTTAATACAAAAAAAGTCAACCTTCTAATAATTATGTTCAGTTATGTACTCAATACTTGGTCAGGAATCCTTTTGCAGAAATGACTGCTTGAATGCGGCGTGGCATGGAGGCAATCAGCCTGTGGCACTGCTGAGGTGTTATGGAGGCCCAGGATGCTTCGATAGCGGCCTTAAGCTCATCCAGAGTGTTGGGTCTTGCGTCTCTCAACTTTCTCTTCACAATATCCCGCAGATTCTCTACGGGGTTCAGGTCAGGAGAGTTGGCAGGCCAGTTGAGCACAGTAATACCATGGTCAGTAAACCATTTACCAGTGGTTTTGGCACTGTGAGCAGGTGCCAGGTCGTGGTGAAAAATGAAATCTTCATCTCCATAAAGCTTTTCGGCAGATGGAAGCATGAAGTGCTCCAAAATCTTCTGACAGCTAGCTGCATTGACCCTGCCCTTGATTAAACACAGTGGACCAACACCAGCAGCTGACATGGCACCCCAGACCATCACTGACTGTGGGTACTTGACACTAGACTTCAGGCATTTTGGCATTTCCCTCTGCCCAGTCTTCCTCCAGACTCTGGCACCTTGATTTTCGAATGACATGCAAAATTTACTTTCATCTGAAAACAGTATTTTGGACCACTGAGCAGCAGTCCAGTGCTGCTTCTCTGTAGCCCAGGTCAGGTGCTTCTGCCGCTGTTTCTGGTTCAAAAGTGGCTTGACCTGGGGAATGCGGCACCTGTAGCCCATTTCCTGTACACGCATGTACACGGTGGCTCTGGATGTTTCTACTCCAGACTCAGTCCACTGCTTCTGCAGGTCCCCCAAGGTCTGGAATCGGTCCTTCTCCACAATCTTCCTCAGGGTCCGGTCACATCTCATTGTGCAGCGTTTTCTGCCACTTTTTCCTTCCCACAGACTTCCCACTGAGGTGCCTTGATACAGCACTCTGGGAACAGCCTATTCATTCAGAAATTTCTTTCTGTGTCTTACCCTCTTGCTTGAGGGTGTCAATGATGGCTTTCTGGTCGGCAGTCTTACCCATGATTGTGGTTTTGAGTAATGAACCAGGCTGGGAGTTTTTAAAAGCCTCAGGAATCTTTTGCAGGTGTTTAGAGTTAATTTGTTGATCCAGATGATTAGGTTAATAGCTCGTTTAGAGAAACTTTTCATGATATGCTAATTTTTTGAGATAGGAATTTTTGGTTTTCATGAGCTGTATGCCAAAATTTTCAATATTAGAAACAATAAAAGGCTTTAACTACTTCAGTTGTGTGTAATGAATCTAATATATATGAAAGTCTAATGTTCATCTAGACCAGGGGTTCTCATTATTGTACCAAATACCGCAATATTACAGTGCATCGATATTTTCTCACATCCCTACTGCTTTCATCGCCATAATGATGGGTGGATCATTTAGTCTGGTGAACCCATTAAAACTGCACCAGATCAGAACTGGACAATATTAAGGGGGTTATTGGGGATTCATTTGCTGTTCTGATCCAAATTGGCTCATCTAGATAAGCTGTTCTGAGCTATGTCAACAATCGGTATCAGCCCTCAAAGCAGAATGGGTGCATATCGTTTTCTTTCTGTCTCTGTCGTGTGCATAGAGATAGATAGATAGATAGATAGATAGATAGATAGATAGATAGATAGATAGATAGATAGATAGATAGATAGATAATATAGTGAAATGTCTTCAGAAAACAAGAAAATGAGTCCAGATGCCTGTTTTTTGTAATTCTGAGAATTGTGCGTGTCAAGGATGACTGAGAGTCTGCACCAACGTGGATGTCCTCCTGATTTGTCTTTATTTGTCCTCTCAGGTTTTTAACAGGACCTACTAACCTTAAAGACCCAGAGGCCAAATTCCGGTTTCCAAAAATCTTTATTTCAGCAGTGGACGGCTACGAGGAGCTGCACCTGATTGTCTATAAGGTCCGTCATATTAAATGTGCTGCTGCTTCACGTTTGATTGGCTCAGAGAGCATTTTGATGTATTAGATGATTTTAATTTTCAGACCGTCATCAGTCTGTGACGGAGGATTTGTGTTTTTATTAATGCGACATTCAGCAAAAAGATATCCTATTCTCAATGGACTCTGAGGATTAGATGGCTCAATTAGAAAATGAAGCCCATCCCATAATGCTCATCATCACATTAATGTGATTCCTGACTTTTGTGTCCTGGGTTTCTCATGTAACCTGCTCTAATCTGCTTTGTTTTGCAGGCGATGAGTGCTGCGGCGTGTTTTATGATCAGCGGTAAGCTGAAGCTCAGCCCTCCATATAAACCAGACAGGACGATTTCTCCCTCGTCTTCTTTATTTGAACTGACTTTCTGGTTTTCTGCATTATTCTCCAGCCTCGGTGGAGCTGACCAGGCAGTTCTGTGAGCAGCTGGACAGCTTGGTGGGCCCTCAGCTGACTCTGCTGGCCTCAGATATATGTGAACAGTTCACCATTAACCGCAGGATATCTGGGTTAGTGGAGACCGCAACAGTCTGATTGATAGAGAGCGTTATAAAAGCATCTCAGCATGATGCATGTTTTCATAGAAGCATATCCCTAGGAATATTACAAACCACAGTTTGGAATTGATAAATAGTTTTGCTCTGTTGGCGGGAAATTCTGACAAACAGAAATTACATCCTCCCAGGATGTTGGTACTTGAAGCCATACTGTGCAACTTTTTCTAATTTTTAAATCATTTTCTGGAGCCAGTTTGTGCTACAATGACCTTTTACAGGGTAATGAAATGTCACTCAGACCGCCGGCCGCCACCTGTTACACTTAAAAAAGTTTGAACTGACATACCTGCCGCTGCAGTCTGCTTCCAGCATGTTTTAGATCATGAACACGGCTGATTGGTTTAATTTAGTGATGAATCGCTCCTGTAGCCACTAATTCAGTTCAGTTCATTTTATTTCAAACATATACATTCACCAACATTTCATAAAATCATTCCATGCAGTTGTTTGAAAAGGAGGGGAGAAGTATATACTTATTTAGCCCCACCCCCTCAGGTTTACATCCTCATCATCTAAATTTGAGCAACAAAACATTTACAATGCCTTAAAAAAAAAATTCTCATGTTCAACTAGAACTATATTTAGATTTGCTAATTTGTAGAAGAGGTTAAACATCAGTTTGCATGCCGTCCTCGGTTAATTGCATTTTATTCATTCTTATACTTATTTAACATTTCTTTTTTAATTAAGTCTGGGGAGACATTTCAGCTGTTAGATTAAGGTGTTAAAAAGACAAACGCACCAGCGAGGAGATAAGTTTCACTTTAGCGTTGACCACAGACAATAACGGACACTAGGGGGTGCTAAAATCAAGCAAAATTGCCAAGTGTACCTTTAACTTTTCCTGGGTTTTCTCAAATTATCGCCCTTATTTTGATGAAACTAGTTGATTATGGAACAATTGATCCCTAAATATTTTGTCATTACATTTTTATTTTTATTAATCTGCAGCCCAACTGTTAGTGTTTGTTTCTGGTAGACTAAATTAAAGGGCTATAATTCAATGAAGGAAAATGAAACACCTGCTGCATTTCATGCACACATTTTAAACTAAAATTATGAGAAATTCATTCATTGAGAATCATAAATACTTTGTTGATCTTTGAGTAAATAGTTGCTCCAGACAGTAAAAGTCAAGAAGAGGAATCCCAAACTAATAATATATTACCAAAATATAAAACACCGCTCGGTTCAGTGGTGTCTGTCAAACACCAGTAGAAATAATATTTACAGTATTTCTATGTGCAACATAGAAACATGACGTGCTCTTAGCCACCATGCAGCCCACATAGAAAAAGTATGTTCTTATTTTTTGTCGAGTCCTGCAGTATTAGACACTATGCTACTATGTACACGTGGAATACTAGCTCGATATGTGTAGGTCTGGCTTTGGCCTAATGATTGAAGTGTAAGGGACGCTTGGGTGGCTGTTCTGATCCGTCACGTCACTCTGCTGAGCTGGCAGTGCAGAACTAGGCTCTAATATTACTGGATCTCATTGTGCCACTACTTAGGGGTAACTCAAGCAGTGCCCCACTAAGGATGGCATCCTGGTCCCCGCTCCTTTAACCCCAGCAGTTAGCTCCTGATAAGTCCTGCACTGTAAGGCTAAACCAGTCCTGCAGATTTGATGGACTCCTTGTAATCAACTTAGTGAAGAAAACGCTGAATAAATGATGAGGTTCCAAATTCCTCTGCTGGCACGCAGGTCTCTGTCCTGAATGTGACGTGGTGATTACACACACACCACTGATTAGAAAGTGGCTCTGTTTTGATATATTCACACACCCGTGCCAGGTTTGTTACCCTAAAGCTCTCACGTCGTTATTCATTTGTGTTTTTAATGTGGACTCTATTTTTTTTCCGTTTAGGCCTGAGAAGGAGCCTCAGTTTAAGTTCATCTACTTTAACCACATGAACCTGGCGGAGAAGAGCACCATCCACATGAGAAAAACAGCCAGTGTTTGTCTCACCTCCGTCCACCCGGACCTCATGAAGATTCTGGGAGACATCAACTGTGACTTTGCAAGGTAAAGGCTCACCTGTGGGAACCATCTAACAAGGTCTGGTTGTTTGAAACGGGTGTGCAGTTAAGGTCTGCAGATGGATTTTTGTTCCTGAGGAAAAAATAAAGAACCTTTTTAAGGGTTTTGTTCATAATTTGTTGTAAATATATAAAACGCCTAAAGAGTTAAAGTAATTTTAACATGCGTACACAGCATCTCTGTTTGGTAAATTAAAGCTGTTAAATGTATCACATAACACACACACACACACACACACAAAACCAGCATCTAAGAAAGAGAATAACTTGATTTTTAGATCAGAATGTCACATAATACATGCGTAGCTGCATTTAGCTCTTTGATTTAACCCGACTTTAGATTTGAACCGTTGACCTCCCAGTCTCAGGGCAGACACTCATACCACTGAGCTGGTGTTAAGTCATATGAGCATAGTTATTTCTTGCACCCCTAAGAAGAAGCCGTCTAATATTGCGTAATGAAGGCTGGAAGCTAACATTTAGCTAACAATGCTAACGTTGAATTAGAAACAAGTAATCTGCTCTAAAAATATCTCAAGCTACTTGTTCAATTACCAAACACCCCAAAGTTACGGTCAAACGTCTTTATCTTATTTGACCACAGCACCTTTAAAGGCCTTCCAGGAAAGGCACATTGCAGCGCAGCTTTAATGCTCGGTGCTAATCTGTCTCTCAGGGTTGATGAAGATGAGGAAATCATCGTGAAGGCTATGACGGACTACTGGGTAGTCGGCAAGAAGTCAGACCAGAGAGAGCTGTACGTGATCCTGAATCAGAAAAACGCCAATCTGATTGAAGTTAATGGTATGTGTCCTCCACCCAGGAGGCGGTACATTTGTGCCATTCTCACCCGAATGAACAATCATTAACTCTGCTTTGCTGTTTTTATTTTTGTTTCAGAGGAAGTCAAGAGGCTTTGTGCGACGCAGTTCAACAACATCTTCTTCTTGGACTGAGTGACCAGACTAAAATCTGTCAGTGAGGCAGGACTTCCACAACAGCATCAGCGTAATGCAATAATTGCATTGTAAAATAAAACGATAAGATTGAAAAGCTTTTCTCACCACGTTTTTGTTTTGTTAATTTAACCTACGACAATTGTAATATTTTCTTGTAATTACCTGTAAAAATACAGATTTGCCTGTACATGTACTTGATTTTGGTTCCTTTGTACATACTTGTAGGATTTCAACTGATTTCTTTTTTCTTCCACATTTTTTAAATGAACACCATATCACAATGTCTCAAACTATCCTAAAAACTGACGAGCAACAGAGTTTAGATTCTGTGATCAGCGATAGTTGAGATGTCATCATGTCAGAAGTATTGTGGTCTGCCAACACCTGCACTAACTTTAAATAAACGAAGCGGTCATTTTCCTTCTGTGTGTGTTTTTTTAACAGCAGATTTAATTTACAAACACAAAGTAAGGAAATTTCTCAGAAGCATTCACAGGTTTTCTGAGATTGTTGCACATTTACATGGTCCTCTTGGTCCTCTTTTGTTTGCCATTTATCTGCTTCCTCTGGGGTCAATCTTTCATAAACATGGCCTATCATTCCATCTCTATGCTGGCGATTGCCAGATTTACTCTCCATTGTGTCAGGAGAAAGGTCACTCTATCCAGTCCTTTGTGTCCTGTGTTAACAAGGTGAAGTCTAATGGCCAACGTTCTACATCTGAATGAGGGAAAGACAGAGCTCATTGTTTTTCACCCCCAGCAGGAATGTGGATCGTTATGTTGATCTTGGCCCTCTTTCTCCCTACTCAAAACCAGTTGTTACCAGTTTGGGGGTGAAACTTGATGCTGGACTTAAATTTGATGCTCACATCAATTCTGTGATCCGGTCCAGTTTCTTTCACCTGAAGCCGGGTGTACACTGTGCAACTTTTTCACTCGTAGCACTCAGCTTCAGCTCAAACTGTACGACTTCGTCGCAGAGCAGATCTCACGAGTCATGTGCTCACACTGTACGACCCAGTTCTCGCATGCGACCTGACTGCTCACACTGTACGTCTGGTAGCAACACGTCGGCCCTAAAAATGTGCTAAAAATAGCAGTTTTTACTCAACACGTCAGACTTTTTTGTCTTGCCTGTTGTCCTTCGGGAGTGCTGCAGGAGGACACACAGGGATTTATGGGGGTTGGATGAGGAAAACGAAATAAAGAAAGTGAATCTGTGTTTTGTGATCAGTTTAATTTGACATGAACACGACAAACACGCTTTCTTGACAATCTTTGTGAGTAAAAAAAACGTGTAGAAACAAAAACGAACAGCGTGTGCATGGATGTAATTTTGGGGGGGGAACAGGGGGGACATGTCCCCCCCCACTTTTTCCAAAGTCAAGTTTTGACCCCTGCACTTTTTACCATCCAAAAACAATATTACGCTATATTAAATTGACACTGGTTGAGCTCTAGGACCAAGCGGAAAACAACCGTTTGTGTTGAAGCCTGTTTCCCATTAAAGCATACTGTAAAGACCCCCCCCCACTTCTAAAGTGAAAATTACGTCCTTGAGCGTGTGTTATTAGGGAAATAGCGAGCGACCGGCGTTGATGCAGGATTGCGCGCGCATGCGCCGTGAGCGGTTCTGATACTTTTTTGGATCGTAGCTGCTCGCAGCTGCTCGCAGCGCCGCTTCAACAGTGCGATACCCTCACGAGGGACGAGCGAAATATTAAACACACCAGAAGTCCCTGCGACCTCACGACTGCTGATCGGCGGCTGGTCACGTGGTGTTAATCGCCTCTCGTAACCCCCTGTACACTACACGACTGCTCGGCGCAAAACTCGCCCCGATGTCATGGCTTCTCGCACGACTGGAAAATCGGCTCAAAAAAGTGAAAAAGTCGCACAGTGTACGCCCGGCTTGAGACGCCTTGCAAAAATCAAGCAAATGCTGTCGAGAGCCCACCTGGAGTGGGTACTGCATGCCTTTGTAATTTCTAGGCTTGATTACTGCAGCTCTCTCTATGCAGGGTTGTGTCAGTCATCACTGTGTCACCTACAGGTTGTGCAGAACAGTACAGCCAGGTTCCTGACTGGGACCAGGAAACGGGACCACATCAGTCCAGTTCTGGCCTCTCTGCACTGGCTTCCGGTTTGTTATCGTTCACACTTCAAACTCCTCGTCTTTGTTTATCATTTCTTCCAGGGAGGTGGTCCCCCCTATCTAGCCACACTCCTGAACAGACATTCAGCACGCGCTCCTCTGACCAAGGCCTGCTCGCTATCCCTCGTTCTAGGTGTCGTACTCGCGGGGACCGGGCTTTCTCAGTTCTAGCACCGTTACTCTGGAACTAGTTGCCACCCTCAGTTAGGCTGTCCCCATCTCTGCCAGTCTTCAAGAGTCGCCTAAAAACACACCTCCTCCGCTTGGCGTTTCCAGAACATGTTTGATTTTGGCCCTCTTTTACGTTGAATTTATTTCACAGTTTTCATTGGTTCACTCAATCCATTGTTTTACACATTTGTCCTGTACCAGAATGTTTCACCTATTTTGTAATTTGAATTGCTTTTATTTTGGATTTATTCAATATATTTACCTTCAACTGTACCATGTTCAGCACATTGGGCTTCCTGACAAGGTTGCGGAAGGCGCTTTATAAATAAAGCTTTGATTGATTGATTGAATGATTGATACATGTATGAATGAATAATTCTACATGATGAATTATAGACCAAAGCTCAGTTTTCACTGTTTTAGAGGATAAATATTTTAAAACCTGTAAAAATTCTGAGTAAAGTCAAAATGTATTCGTTTAGTACGTTACTGTGGCAACAGCTGTTGCCCCAAAGTGCTGCATATAGGCAAAGTAATTAGCATTAGAAATAGAGGAGCAGACCTAATCTATTACAAGAGACTAAAACTACAGGCAGATGTGTCTAAAATGCATAACAAATTACAAAAGAATAAAAATGGACACACTTAAAATGCGTCCTTCAACACAGCATAACGAGAGATTTCATCTGATCATTACAAACTTCTGCTACGGCCCATTCTAGCTGAGACACGGTGGATGGTTTTCCAGCATGGACGGCCTATTTAAGGTCAAAAGTCAGATAATCTTCAGGATTTTCTGCTAGAGAGGAGAATTCATGGTTCCATCGCAGCAAGTGGTCCTGAAGCAGCAAAGCAGCCCCGGACCATCACACTACCACCTCTGTGTCTGTTATAATTTTCTGAAATGCAGTGTTATTTTTACACCAGCTGTGATGGGGCACACACACACACCTTCCATAAAAGTCCACTTTTGTCTGTTCAATCCTGACATTCATCAAGATGTTTTTTGACAGATCGTTGTGTTCTTTGAGGTCAGCAGAGCTTTTGGTGGTTGAACTCTCCCATCATGCCACTTTTGCCGCATCTTTTTCTTGCTTTTGATTCATGACCTTTGACCTTAAGCTTTGCCAGCTGATGTGAGTTCTTTTCATCTTGAACTGTGTGTTGTAATTGTATACGTGTGTTGTTAAGGCAATTATTAAGCTGCTCTTCAGTCCTGGTGCTCTAAAAACACTTGTCATCGCGCCCGGTTATTTTCTCCTACTCAGGATTATACAGTTGTACTTTTGTAAAATAGTAGTCAGTTAGTGTGAGATTACTCTGGTGAAATAAACAAATGGCTTCATAATTAGTTTAGAGGCAACCTTGTTATGCACTAGATGACAGTGCATTTTGGGTTTTATTCATTTAAACCAGGCAGTTGGTATGCTGCTAAAAAATTTATGTTCAAAATAGGTACACAGATACATTATGTCCAGATGAAACTATAAAGTAACAGGTATGATTTCACTGTGCAGTGAACTGACATCTTTCTGCAGAAAAAGCTTCTCATGTTATTTATTTCCTTTTTTTTTCAAGCTTATGAAGCATAAAGCTACACAACTTAATTTAAAAAAACAAATTTATAACCCTCTTGTAGATGATTTCATAATATAGAAGAATGCTTTGCTCTTTAACTAACTCTCCTCTTGACAAACTCCCATTTAAATACATATATTCTGTGTCTTTCATGTTATCTTACTATATCCCCTTATTATTTTATTTGCTGTTCACGCTTCATTTTTTTCTTATTCGTAATTGACAAGTGATTCCAAAACCCAGGATTGCAAAAACATGGACGTTGGAGCTATTCTTATAACATGTTATTTTGCTCACGTTTTCAGTAAGGTTAATGAAGCAAACACGACGTGTGACGTAAACACGCGCTACAGGAAGCCTCCTCGCTGGAAACAAACCAATCACAGAGCGCCATGGATCTTGAGGACAGCCAATCAGCGTAACCTGTACGATATTTGAAATACGAACTGCCATTAGTTGTGCTAAAGTCAGACCGTTTGTAACTACGTCTGCGTTTGCTTTGTAGTAACTTTCCTAAAATACTGTTTCCGAGCGTTATTGTTGAAAAAAAAAACGAAGGTGAGACGTGTATTCTTTATTTACTCTTTGCCGGGAGAATTATCGCGTTATGTGCTGTTCAGTTAGCGTTGAAGTTAGCTAGGTAGCTAAGTATTTGGGTTTTTATTTGTTCACGTTGGTTTCTCTAAGAAATTACATTGCGATTTACTTAGTCTGTTTTTCGGTTTGTTGTTGAAGGTTTACAAATCTAAACCCTACAGCACACTTCGCTCTAATAAGATTAAGCGCTACGTATGTTTACAGAGACATTCTCATTTTGTGTATCATTACAATGGCTGCGTTTCTCTTTGGGGTTCACTTGTTTAGTGGTATTGCAACGTGTGTGGGCCTATCTGTTAAATGGAACAATACTACAACATCTCTGACTATGATTCTTCTCTCAATACTTTGACTGCTACATCACTTGAATTAAAGTAAATTAAACATTTATAACTCCTTTTCTAAAATAAAACTACTGGAAATTAGTGCAATAAAGAGTCATATATTTGTTTATGTGCGCTCTGCATTTACCAAAACAGGTTTAGTTCGAGTATGTTTAGCTAATTCTTTATAAAGTTTTCTTAATTTATTTGAAACTTGTTGATGTCTTTTAAAATGATGAATCACCAGCATTTGTATGGTGCCTTTCAGAGTCAGAGGACTCCAAAAGCGCTTTACATTACATCATACACACATGAGAGAGAACACTACTTGATCCATTCATAAGTTTGTGTGATGAATACACTTTCTCTTAAAAAGTTGTTTTTCTGTAATTCGATTATGAGATGTATATTTATATCTTGCTACTTTTGAGATTGACTACTTGTTTTATGTAACACTTTATGAGTGGGAGACATGACCATGTCTTGTGTATTATTTTGAGATTTATGTTTTGTGAATTATTCAGGTGCCCAAAAACATGGAGTCTCGTTTTGCTCATCTTCGGCAGAGGGACACAAGTGTGTCGATGTTGAGGGTAAAAGTGTCCCGCAGGAGGTCCCAGTCCCAAAAGGCGAACCGAGAGCGGACCGTGAACACACGCAGACAGCTGGGTCCGCTCGCTGAGCTGGAAAATTCTTCCCATAATGTGTCCGCTGCAACAGTCAACTTGTCAACTACTCGGGAGAAGCAGAACAATGCCAAATTTGCTCCAAGTATGATCCAACTTGAGCTTCTCGGCACAGTTGCACTGATTTCCTTTTCTACACTGTGTTTCAGTAAATGAGCTTTTCCACTGTTTCGTGCCTCACCGAACACTCGTTTTCCAACAGCTGTTGCACAAGAGGAGCGACTGAAACGACTTGAGCGCTGGAAAGAACAGAAGGCTCTTGAGAAGGAGAAGGAAAATAGAGCGAGGGAGCGTAAGGGAGTATTTAAGACTGGTGTCTTCCATCCGAAGGACACCTTCATGTTCAACTCCCTGCCTGCTGTTCCACCTGCCGTGTCCAGACCTAAGGAGGTGAGGGTTCTAAACACTAGAAGCACATTTGTCTTGTTGTTTTTTTTTTTGTGATGAGACGAGTAACAAAACGGTTAAATATTTCTACTCGGTGATTATTAAAATATTTGCGTGTCTTTCAGAAGATGAATGCAGCTCTATACCAGAACACAAGAGTCCTGCGTTCTATGAAACAGCAGCAGCAAGAACCACAAAAGGTGTTTATGAAAACATTCTGATTAGTATTCCTGTGTTTTACATAATAATCATAATAATATTTAGTAATGCATCTTCATTTGCTGTATTTTTGCCCACTTTTGCACAGCCCCTAGCAATGCAGAACCCAAATACTAAAGTAAACGGAGGTAAAGTAGCTTTAATTCTATTTTTATAAAACTTGCATGCAATTGATACGCCTCAGGTGTTTTTATTAAATTTCCACTTTTCTATTTAAAATCTGCTACAGGAAAACAAACCAGGACACGTGCAGCCCCCGTCAAACCTGCACCAGCTGCTGCCAAGTCTAAAGTTAGTGCAGGTAAGGAACAGATGATGAATCCTGGGACACGGCCAGACCATGTACTGTGTTAGCATCTCAAGCTGTGTCTTTGTGTCAGGCTATGCTGTCGTAGCGGGACCTGCACGAGCTTCATCAACCAGATCAGCCAGCAAGACTCTGGTTACAAAAGACGGTCCTAAACCTAAGGCTGCAGGTACACGCGGCTTAGTGTCTGGCGTTTTGACAGATTCAACTTGACTATCATAGAAACACTGAACTGTAGGATGAAGATGTCTTCTGGGAAAACGTAAATGTGTTGAATGTTTCTCTCTGCCTGCAGGTATGAGAACTACCAGGTCCACAGCGGTTGTTAAACCTCTGCCCCCCTCAGCTGGTGAAGTGGAGAACTGTAAAGGTGTCCTTATGTTTTACCACAATCCTTCTAGCTCTTGATGCTGTTTAAAGAAACATTCCTTAAACCACTTTGTGGATCTCCACAGCTGTGAGCATCGCCACAAACGCTGCAGCCTCCAAGGTGAGCACATCTGTAAATGTTCCAGTCAGCGTACCCGAGCCTTTAAGGGTCTGTGCTTAAGTCAGGGTATCTGCAGGTTTAAGGGAACCAAATTTAAGACTTTTTAAGACCTTTTTTATGGCCACTTAAACCAAATTTAAGCTTTATTTTCCAGCTATTGCCTGGAACCGGTGCTAACCACGTCGCAAACGTGGGATTAGCCATCCAGCTACCATTAAACTTGCACTTCCCCATGGTGCAAGCTCCCACTAGCTCAACCAGCTAATGTGCTCAACTAAAAATGGCCCCCTTTCACAACCAACTGAATGTGTACGGTTCTGCTTACGCCAACATCATACACAAAAAATGCTGAATACTAACTAGAAATTCATGAAAATTTTATAGACATAAAAGAATCCTGTTTATTGGGTCTTTGGTAATTTAAGACATTTGGAAACTGTATTTAAGGATTATTTGTCATTTTTAAGGATTTTTAAGGCCTTAAATTTGGAAAAGCTAATTTAAGACTTTTTAAGGACCCGCGGATACCCTGTTAAGTGTTGCTGTTGTGATTCTCTCCAGGAGCCAGAGCTGGGGGGGCATCAGACCCAGGAAGTAGAGAAAAGCATTTCTCCTGAGGTTGAAGACATGATGGTGGACCATCCCCCCGAGGAGCTCGTTCCTGCCGGCACTCCGTCCTTTGCTCCGAAGGGATTCGTGTTCCAGGCTCCTGCTGGATTGTTGTCCTTTAACTTTGAGCCGATGACCCCCCGTTCAGCTGACTCCTTCCTCACACCAAGGTCTGGTCCCCCCCCCCCCCCCCCCCCCGTACTTGTTCAACATTTACAAACTCAACATATCTTTAATGTAGATTAGTGTTGCTTCTTCCCCTTTTAAACAAATGTAAAACAAAAAATATTTGTTCATGGCCGACATGCTTCTCTTTGCTCTTCCCTCAGTTCCAGTTTCATTTTTCCTCCGGTCCCAACTTTGAACGATGAGGCACGGTCAGCGCTGAGTGAACCCACTCCACCAGAGGCTCCTCTCTGCCCTCCTTGTTCAGCTCCTTCAGTTGCTCCTCCAACTCCAGGGAGTTCCTCTGAACCAAAGCATGATGTAGCTTACTTCAGGTGATGTGCTGTTTTTATTTTTTAAGAGATTCTCCAAATAGCTGGCTGGTAACAAACAGGCCAGTTCGTGTAACTTTCTAATGAATAGTTTAGAAAGACGGATGTGATTTTCTGCCCTAACCTTTTGCAGTAAGTCTATAGACGTTTCCTTTATGATGTAGATTTTAAAAGTCTCCTGTGATGTTGTGACAAATTCCATCACACGTTTATGGTGCTTTAGCCTTATTTTCTCTGACTTGTGTGTGATTTATTCTGTTTTATCGTTTATTCAGACTGGAAATTGCAAATGAGATGGACAGACTAACATCCCTTTGTCTCTATTGGGAGTCTAAAGTGGAGGATGAATCCATCCCAGAAGAAAGTGAGTCCCTCTTCCTCCTCAGAAGGCATATTTAATTAAATGTGAATTGGTTTATATCCGTGACTGGACTTTAGAACAAAATGCACCACACAGCACTCTTGTCTGACAGTGAGGGATCGAATGCGTACGGCTGTGGGACAAGCTAGGCTGCTGATGAAAGAGCGCTTCAAGCAGTTCGGTGGTCTGGTGGATGACTGCGAGCTGGGGCGTGGGGAGAAAGTCACCACCTGCATGGACCTGCAGGGATTCTGGGACATGGTTTTTTTCCAGGTCAGTCTCCCGTGGCAGAGTTTCAGGGTGACACCGGAAAAACGCAGGAAAATAACCACGTTAATTCTGTCAGGTGGAAGATGTCAACAAGAAGTTTGATGCTCTGAAAGAGTTGGAGGGTCGAGGCTGGGTGGAAGAGCACAAACCACCACCCCGTCAGAGGAAAATGAAGGTAACAACTAGGGGTGGGCTATATAAACGATAGAAGGTAGAAACAATATAAAATTAGGTAATGATAGAGTTTTTGGCTATATCGCGATAACACATGACGTCACTAAGATGTGCACCCTGCTGACATTGGGACAACAGAATGGCCGTGACTGCAAGCCTGGAGTGGGCGGAGGAGGAGGCCTATATGCCTCAAGTGGCATATATTTGCCACATGAGGATATTTAAAAGCATGTCAATTTTGACACATATAAACAGAGGAAAAAATATATATCGTTACCGCACATGCTTCAGATTATATCGCAATATTATTACATTATATATATATTATTTAAGAATGGATTCATTCAGCCATTATAATTACCCCAAAGCATAAGAACCATTCATTTGATTAAACACATTTATAATGAGCAAAATGATAATGGTTACTTTAACATTAAAATCAAGAAAAAGAAGTTTAAACTTTATGTTTTGACTTGGTCTGGGTACAACTCATGGAAACACATCTTCTGGTAGACTGCGGGTGGCTGATGTTATGGTTTCCTCCCAGACTCGCTGGCGTTCAGGTCTTAATCTGTGGGTGAAAGTTCTCAATGACCCAGCTTTGACCCAGCTGAGTCCAGCACCACCATTGTGACAGAAAACCCATATTTCCTCACGTTACACAATATAGATTTGAGGCCATATTGTCCAGCCCTAGTAACACTAAAACAAGACCACCCAACATGCAAGGAGCAAACTTTTCTTAGATGCATGCTTTCTTTTTAGATTTTTTGAGCTTCGTCATGTTTTGGAAATCCCGGTTTAACCAGCCTCCTTTTCTTTTGACAGAAACCACCAGCAGCCGCCCCCAAACCAGCAGCGAACAAGACTGCAGCCAAGTCTCGTCTGGCGGCTGCGAAAGCTGCCATGAAAGCCAAGCAGCAGCAGGAGGCGGAGGCGGAGACGGCAGCTGAAGATCCTGTAAAGTCCCAGGAGCTGCAGCTTCAAACTCAGGGGACTGTGGCGTTTGATGGAGTCTTCAAGGTGGAGAGCCCAGCTAAACCATCAGGTGAGTGCTAGCCCACACCTTTAAGGGAACTTGTAAAATTAGTTGGTGTACCTTTCCTCATCTGTGTCACATTTGTATTTCAGTCAGGAGATCTAGCAGGCTCAGCGCCGTCGTGCTTCCTCCGGCTTCTCCTTGTTCCCTCTTCTCTCCCAGAAGAGTCAGTCGAAGGTCTCGGGTGGTGGCCCAGACTCCTGCTCGGCCTATCTGCCCTCCAGAGAATTTCTGCCTTGCTCTTGAGCAAACTCCGGCTCCAAAGTCCCAGCGAGGCACTCCTCAGACCTCTCACAGCAAACAGGACATGGCACACACCTCTCTTTGTTTTTCACCTGTGAATGAGGTGCCTTCAGAGGAGCTCCAGTCCAAGCAGAACCTCACACAACGGTCAGAATGCGTGTCCATGGAGGAAGACGTTTTGATCAACTCAACAGCTGATAAAATAGAGGACATCCGTCTCTCACCACGTCGTTCCCCCTCTCCGTGCCAAACTCCCTCTTTAGTTCTCCAGGCTCCAGAACCTCCACCCACCCCAAGTTTCACGCCGTCTCCCATTGTTCCTCCTGCTCAGACACCCGTCTCCTCTCCTGTGCAGTTCTCCATGCAGACCCCACCCTCTACAGATGCTTCCACAGTTGAGGTAAGCAATCTTAGTTCCATTCATTTGGGTCTGTTTTTGGTCTTATGACTGATGATTTTGTAACTGTAGGAACTTCCTGGTTTGGACATTGAGCGCTACTTGCAGCCCTCACAGAGATGCAGCATGTCCCCCGTGGGAGCAGATGTAGAGATGGAGAGTCCCAGCAGTCCTGAGGAGCTCCTCGTGCCGCAGGAACCAGGTAGGACTGGCATCTGCATTCACGTTTTGTGCTTTATCTTGACATGCAGGCTGTTTAAAACGGTTTCTAGGTAAACACATCTCACCTGCCAAATTAAAGCCAAGGCTTGTGGCGATGAGCTGCACCTGACTAGCTGAACACTTCTCACACTTTCACTTGTTCTGTCACCACAGCGGTGTCTTCGGTGCTGGCCGTTCCGTCGTGCAAGGTTAACGTTTTTCTGCTTTTTATTTCTTACTCCCTCTAACTTATGATTTATTACCACCTCACTAATGATGTTTTTGTTTTTCAGATCCAGACAGCAGAGTCTGACATGCTTCTGTTCACCCCCAACCCCAAGGACCGAATCCGTCCATCTGTCTGTCCGAGTGATCTGATGGTCTTCACCCCTCCCTCCTTCTAACATGGGACTAACATCTGGACGTCTTTGATTTTCGTTTATTGTTTTAAAAAGACACAAGTTATTTTCTCATTAGTTTTATTTTAACACCAGAAGAAAATAGTTTTGTAGTTTTGTTTTGATCAAAGTTGTTATTAAAGTTCTTGTTATAACCAGAAGATTTTGGTTCAAATTTAAACACTTTGCTTTTTTTTTTAAGACTGTTGATGTATCAAGTAAAGCATAGAAGATTTCTGTTTTTAGAGTTTCTCTTTATAATCTGCAATAAAGTTTCCTTGGTTGCTGCTTTTTGGCACAAAGGATCAAATTCAAACACTCTAACAAGAAAAAAAACAACATTGCACACCAATTAAAACTCCTAACTTGTACTTCCTCACGGTCCTTTGTTGTTCTGCTCCTTGAGGAGCATCTCCATCTTTTCAGTCACTTTCTGGTAAAAAGCAACTGCGGGGAAGAGGTGGTGTTCGAGGAACAGCTGGAATTGCAGCAGTAGATGGGTTTGGCTCTTTCTGCTGTGAACATCTTCCTCATGTAGACGTGCCTCATGCTCTAGATGTAAAGTAATAGGGATGTGTGTTAGTGAAACTGGCATTACAATATGTATCATGAAACGGGAGACGATACAATATATGTAATATTGCGATACACTCAGTCAGATGATATTAGCAGTTTTTTAAAACTGAATTGTAGGAAAATTCAATAAACAGTTCAAAATGATGTTTAACATGAGGTATCAACCACATCAGAGGGATTTACATTTCAATGGTGGAAACAAAACCCATTGCACACGGCTAATGCGGTCAGTGTTTGAATTGCACCAAAAGGAAAGAAAATACACAAATGTTTGCATGTAAACTCTTACAAAAATTAGACACACGGCTTTTGAATATTTATATAATATTGCAGGAAACAATATCACAATACATTACCATATCAATATTTCTTACATTCCTATAAAGTAATATGTCGGATCAAATGCATTTGATTTGAAATCAGCCTGATCACTGTCTGGATAACCAAACACCTCTAATCTAGAGATCCATTTATAAAGCCTCATACTAGTGATGGGATTCCGGCTCTTTTTAGAGAGCCGGTTCTTTCAGCTCCCAAGTGGTTCCTCAGATTTTCTGTTGCGTAGAGTACATTTATAACCAAAATAATGCAAAACTATATGTAAAATGATTTACTAATGCAAAAAAATGCTATACATCAAATATTTTTCATTTCTACAGATTTAATAACTGAACACTTTAAGAAATCTCCACTTTCCAACTGCTGGCACTCATTTTCTCACCGTCTTCGTCGCACTCTCTCTCTCGCTCGCCGTTTACCTCTTCATTCACTCGTCTCCCTCCACCCGCGTGTGCTCTGCTGTGTGTCGGAGTCTGATCCTCCCTCTCCCCTGCCCCTACTGCTCTGTGTGTGGACAGTCTGGACATGCAGTTACACATGTTGACCAATCGCCTGTAGCTTTCATCAAAGCAAGAGGGGAGGGGAGGGGACGGCTCCCGTAGTTCACTTCAAAGAGCCGGCTCTTAGAGCGGCTCTTTGAATTTAAGCACTAACATGACCTCTCTTCTGAAGTGCCTTGATAATCTTCAGCTGTGGCTCTCACACAACTTACAGCTATTGAATCAAGATAGTGTATAGTTTTTACCCCTCCAAACCACTCTGGTGTCCTTGTAACCGAACTCAGTCATCTGGCCCTCAAACGTAAACCTTACATTAACTCTGAATCATCTTTGATGAATAATTGAACTTTGATGAGGAGATCAAAGTTCAATTATTCATCGTTCGCGACCGACACATCACTACCTCATACACGATGTTTTTATTCGGCCTGTTGTCATCTGTCAGTAAAATGTTTCATGTCAGTAAAGAAACTGCATCAGACAAATATAACCTCAGTAAATATGAAATGCAGTATTTTTTTTTGTTTGTTTGTTTTGGTAGTAAGCTGACCAACCAGCCCAGCCCTATGTGACAGCTCAATAAAAAACATTCAGTACAAATTCAATTCAAAATTACTTCATTAATCCCAGGGGGAAATTGATTGCTGTAGTAGCTCAGAATAATAATAATAATCAAGTCATCAAAGAGTTGTTGTATATTACAATGGCTGTTGGCAGGAAGGATCTCCAGTAGCGGTCAGTGTTGCAGCCAAACTGAAGAAGCCTCTGACTGAAGACACTCTTCCGTTGTCGGACAGTCTTGTGAAGAGAATGCTCAGGGTTGTCCATCATTTTCTTGATTCTCTGGAGAATCCTTCTTTCATTATCTCCTCCAGTGGTTCCACAGTCGTCCCCAGAACAGAACCAGCCTTTTTTATTAGGCTGTTGAGCCTTTTCAGGTCCCTGCTTCTGATGCTGCTACCCCAATAGATGATTGCTGAAGAGATGACACTCTCAACAACAGACTTGTAGAAGATGGGCAGCATCTTGCCACAGACATTGAAGGACCTAAGCGTCCTGAAGAAGTGCAGTCTGCTGTGTCCCTTCTTGTAAACGGCTTCGCTGTTCTTTCTCCAGTCCAGTCTGTTGTCCAGGTGAACTCCAAGGTATGTATTCCTCAACCACCTCCACTTCTTCTCCCATGATGGAAACAGTGTTTGACTCCACCCTGTTTCTTCTGAAGTCTAAAAGCATCTCCTTTGTTTTGTTCACATTTCAGGTCAGATGATTGTTTCCACACCACGCCACAAAGCGCTCCACCAGCTCTCTGTACTCAGCTTCCTGTCCATCTCTGATACACCCGACGACTGAATAGAATAGAATTAGAATAGAATTCAACTTTATTGTCATTGCACATGTACAGGTACAGGACAACGAAATGCAGTTTGCATCCATCCAGAAGTGCTTTAGCTGTGATATAGATGTATTACAATATATATTAGCAATAATATAGATGTGTAAGTATATTACAGAAATGGATCTATTACGTATGTTATAATGTACACGGTATGAAGTATGTTATGAATACTCTATGACTATAAGTATGTACAGGCTTAGTTAATACAAGCAGTCCATGAGTTTAACGTGGGTCATATGTCAGGAGGCAGAGTTCAGGAGTCTGACAGCTGTTGGGAAGAAACTGTTCCGGTACCTGGTGGTCTTAGTCCGGAGGCTCCTGTAGCGCCTCCCAGAGGGCAGCAGGGTGATCAGTGCATGTGATGGGTGACTGCGGTCTCTGATGATTTTCCCTGCCCTTTTCAGACACCGCTTCCTGTAGATGTCCTTTATGGCAGGAAGTGGTGCTCCGGCGATGCGCTGGGCAGTTTTCCCGACCCTCTGCAACGCCTTCCGGTCCGAGGCGGAGCAGTTCCCAACTGCAGAGTCATCTGAGTATTTCTGTAGATGACAGGTCTCTGATTTGTACTGGGAGTCTGAGGTGTACAGGGTGAAAAGGAATGGTGAGAGTACAGTCCCCTGTGGTGCTCCAATGTTACTGATCGCCTGGTTTGATGTGCAGTTCTTCAGTCTCACAAACTGTGGTCTGTTTGTCAGGTAGTCTTTAATCCAGACGATAGTTGAGGGCCCCACCTGTGTCTTCTGGAGTTTCTGGCAAAGTACATCAGGCTGGATTGTGTTAAATGCACTGGAGAAATCAAAGAACATGACGCTGACAGTGTTGCCTGCTTTGTCCAGATGACAGTGGGTTGGTTGAAGCAGCTGGATGATGGCATCTTCAACTCCAACTCCATGGCGATAAGTAAACTGCAGCGGGTCCTGATATGTTCTAGTTTGCTTATTTAGGTGGACCAACAGGAGTCTCTCCAGGACCTTCATGATGTGGGATGTCAGGGCAACCGGTCTGTAGTCGTCGTTGACTGATGGGCGAGTTTTCTTTGGAACTGGAACAAGGCAGGATGTCTTCCACAGGACTGGAACCTTCTCCTGGGCCAGGCTGAGGTTGAAGAGGTGCTGCACAATCCCACAAAGCTGCTCTGCACAAGCCTTCAGTACTCTGGGGCTGACACCATCTGGACCTGCAGCCTTGTTCCTGTTCAGTCTCTCCAGCTGCCTCTTCACCTGACTTCTAGAGACGGATAGATAGGAGGAGGAGGTAAATGGGGCAGCAGCATCTCCTGACTTGGTTGAAGACAGATTTATAGAACCAGAAGAGTCCATGACTGTGTTAGAGGACAAAAGAGCTGGCGTGTGACAGGAAAATGTTGGATCAGAGGAGGATGGGATGTCTGATTGGTTGGGGACAGGCGAGGAGAATGCTGGGTTTGTTCCTGAACTGAAGAGCCTTGATCAAAGGTCAGACATTCTTCTGGATGTTCTGCTAGAGAGCAGAGTTCATGGTTCCGTCTGGCAGCAACCAGGCCTTAAGCATGCTAGTGAAACAACTCAGCTTCCCACATAATCTGATTAATCCCCGTGCATTTGTGATTTAACAAAAGAGAACATGTTTCCGCAAATGGCCAGGTTGCATTGGAGAGCTTTTTCCACCAAACTGCAGTTGCAGACACACACACACACACACACACACACACACACACACACACACACACACACACACACACACACACACACACACACACACACACACACACACACACACACACACACACACACACACACTGGTAAAAATACACTAGAACATCTCATCGCTAGGGCACCTTTAAAAACAGTAGTAATGAAGCAACCAAGTTCTGTTCCAATTTATGTAACGAAAAGTTACAGATCAGTGCACACCTGCAGGTGGAGAAATGTGTTCATCTTGACCTTTCATTTCTCCAGTTTCCACATTCTCAGAGGTGACATTTCCTGTCTGGAATAAGATACAAGTAGTTTAGCAAATACGTCATTAATGTCAAATGTGATGCAGACGTTTTTATTTTAATCACAATCAAACGTAAACAAAAATGGACCAGCAAAAGTATAATTAGCTGGTTTCCTATGGCTTTTTTTCTCAGCCACTAATTTCCATTCAAATCTGGATTGGACAAAAACAAGATGTCTGAGGAATGATGTGATTTAGAAGAGAGACATCTAACCAGTTGGGAATGACCATTTGCATCATCAGTCTCCTCGGGTAGATTCTCTGTGGACTTATTGTCTGATGTGAGAAGAACCTGGTCCTCCTCTGGAGTTTCAGAAACCTGCAGACATTTAACTTCTGCACAGCCAATAAGCACCTCAAAAAACTCCAGGAACGTAATCTACAACAGAAAAGCAAGATTAGTGACGCTTATGGCAGAGCTGAATGAGTGAATGTGCTTAAACAACAAGGGCAAACCTCCAGTCCCACACAGGGGGGGTCAACTCTTTCGGCAGTTATGATCTTCACAAGTCTCGTCGAGGTCAGCTGGTCGTCCAACAGACGCAGATGCTAAATGAAAACATATCCAAAGACTGAAACACCAACTAGTTACACTACAGTTTTATTGGACTAATCTCAAGGGATTGTAGCAACATAAAAAACAGAACATACAGAAATATGCAAAACAAAAACGGATTAGGCTAGAAGAAAACAGAGGATGCAAGGAGCTGTTGAAGGTACCTTGAACATCAACATCAGATGTCTGAAAGTCATGGTCCGGTCATCTCTGTGGGGCATGTAGACCCCGCAGAAGGTCTCAAAGACTTCCCAGCACCTCTCTGTGTACTTCAGAGCCTCTACTGCAAATTCTGGTTGCCTAAAAAGGAAGCCTGGTGAAAGAGAGCTGCAGTTATGGAAAGCTGAGCTTAAACCTAGCATTAATATTTTTTTAATAAACGCAAACATTAGCAGCAAAACTAGCTACTATACAACTCGTAGCAAGTATTCTAGAACAATTCTGCCAGGATAACCATGGTATTTATGTCAATGAACAGGTTATAAAATAGAATTAGCATGAAGTGGCATGAATTGTTTGTGACTGAGACTGTTTTAAGGTACTTTGTATACAAATGGCCCATTTGTGATTAACTGTTATGTGCCCAATCAGAACAAATGTCTTTTTCCCCAAACTGAGGTTACTTACAGCGCTATCTACAACAGGGAAGACGCTTGCTATTTAAGAACTTTCCAGAGAACCCCACTCTGTAGGATGTGGACCATCACTTTAAAAGTTTATGTTTATTCATTTAGCAGACGCTTTTATCCGAAGCGACTTACAATTTATAACCTATAGAGCATGTTGTGATCTATGGGGGAAACCGGAGTACCCGGAGGAAACCCACGCATGCATGGGGAGAACACGCAACTCCACGCAGAAAGGTCACAGCCGAGTTTCGAACCTGCAACCTTCATGCTGCGAGGCAACAGTGCTAACAACTGTGACACCATGCAGCCCAAAAGTTCTAATCAACAGCAAAAATATTAGGATTCTATTCTTTTAAATAAAGTTTAAACTAGTTATAATGAGACCAATTTATTAGAAAAGAATAAAAGTATAAAAACAATAAAATTGCTATAATTTCTGATCTTTATATTTGGTGTTTTTTCTTGAATTTATTTTTCTTCAGGTTTCCATGTTGACATTTTGTAATCAACACATGACCATTCTTGTAAAATACGTTTTCTCATCTATCAGTCAAATCAAATTAGCACCTTTTACTTTTGTAGCATTTGGGAGGATGTCATCAATCAGCAGTTTGGAGAAGCAGGAGGCTAGAAGGTAGCTCTGTGACCTGTAAACACAACACAAAAAATATGTTAAGGCACCTTTTTCTTTTGTGCCAGCTAAGATATTTGCTTTTAGAAACTTTCACTTTTGTCACAGCTTAACTAAATCAATTTTATTTTCTTTCTCTAAAGATAATGCACGTTTATTTAAGCCTACTTGTGATTATCTAATAGAGGAAGTTTGATCACTTACATCATGTCTTCATGGTAGATGTAGTAGGCCACAACCACAAGACAGCTGAGGAGCTCTCTTAGATGCACGGTGGTGAAAGGGGAGTGAATCTCTGCTACGCTGGCCTTTCCTGGAACACAGAATGAAAATGACTATTCAAACTTCTCAAATTCAGTTTTGTATATCAAAGACAGGTCACCTCTGATAAAAGAGTCAATCTGTGTCAGAGTAAGTTCATGAGCATGGATGCTGCAGTCTTTGAGCAGGCGCCAGAACTGCAGACGGGACATCAGCAAGCTGTCATCTGGAGAGCGTCCGAGCCGGCAGTAGAAACCATAGATGAGCCTCAGCTCTGTGCGATGACACCACACCGCAGACTTCACCTGTTGGACACATACCTCAGCTTCACAGAGGGAACAAGGTGGAAAATGACGTGTTTGTCTGTGTAAGATAACAACGAACATGTCTGAGCTCAGTCTTGTGATTCCTCTTCGGAATTTTCTCCAGAAGATATTCAATGTCGATGGCCATGTCATCTCCTACGAATAGGTCCCTCTCTGACACAGTCAAACCATCTGCTGAGATCAACACATTCAAAGGTTCTTGAAACAGACCTGCAAAAGCTGATTCTTAACTTCGTCTTTTAGACTACCGAGAGGTGTTCCATTTCTACCTGATCTGGCCGTCGCCACCTTATCATCCACAAACTCTACTTCAAGAATTCGCCCATCCTTGGTGGTGAATTTACCCTAAAAACACAGAACACACTGTATCCAGCATAAGACCTGCGTCTCATTGCAACTGTTTTACAAAGAAAATCGAGAAAAAACCCCAGAAAAACAGTCAACAAGACTTGATAGAAAAATTACAACAGAGGTGCCTTGTGTACTATCTGAGAGACCATACCTGTCCATGTTTCATGTTGTTCCTCCATCCTCCTTTGTAGATGGCACCACCTGCATAGTAAAAGCTTCCCTGCCCATGTCTCTGACCCTTAAAGAAGTTCCCTATATAATGGGGGCTCTGGAAATAACGGGTTCCACTGCTATTCTTCAGGATCCAGATGTGTTTCCCAAGTCCATGCTGGCATAGAGAAAAAAGCAAATTGAAAAAAAAAATCCATCTTCTGTAAACATTAAAATCTGAAGAAACAATATTTCATCAATACTCGATTGGTGCATTCTTTAAAAACTCACCTGGACTCCATGCTCCCATTTCCCAACATAGCGCTGTCCCAGGTTCACCCAGATCATGGTGCCCTCTCCATGTCTCATGTTGTTCTTCCACCCACCAGAATAAGTGTCACCAGACCGGTAGCTGTTCACAAATACTTTGTCTTTGAGCATCTGAAGCAGACGCCAGTGAGGAATCTAACCACATACCGTCGCTCTCCTGATCCCTCTCTGCTGTTCATCACCCAGTCTCCTTTATACCAGGAGGACTTCTTGTTGTTAAAGAACATGGTGCCCTAAAGAGACAGGGCCAGCTAAAGACAGTGATGAACAAATACATGAATATGTGAGTGGATCATACCTTCCCATGCTTTTTGCCTCGATGCCACTGTCCTGTGTAAGACACGTCATGTTTAGGACATGTGTATGTCCCTGTCCCGTGTCTTTTTCCACTGTGGACTTCCCCCGTATACGCGCTGCCATCTGGCCAGGTGAACGCACCCTGGCCCATTGGAGTGTTCCGCACAAATTCACCCTGTTCGATGGGACACGCACACTCACTTCCACAGTTATTAAACGTACCTTTTTTAGATTTGGTATGAGCCGTTATAAACAAATACAACAACGAGATATGTGGAATGAAATATAGTTGAAGCTGAAACAAACAGATTGCCCCCTAGAGCAGACGTGGGGAGCCCTGGTCCTCGAGGGCCGTATCCTGCATGTCTTTGCTCCAACACTTATGCTTCTGTGGTTGAGTCACCTGTGCAGCAGCTCATCAGGCTCTGCAGAAGCCTGTTAATCACCTGCTGATTGAAATCAGGTGTGTTGAAGCAGGGTTGAAACTAAAATATGCTGGACCAGGGTTCCCCACCCCCGCCCTAGAGGTTGGCTGCAGTATACATTTTAAACCCCACCCATCTACATTATTAAACAGAAGATTTAAAAAAAAAATACACTTAATGTTTTATTTCAGGAAGGTGAAGCTCTCGATTTACCGGCCAATTCATGATTCTACCCTCACCTGTGGTCTCGAGCTTTGGGTACTGACCGAAAGAATGAGATTGCGGATACAATCGGCTGAATACGTTTTTTCTACAGGGTGACAAGCTCGGTCATGCGGGAGGGGCTCGGAGTAGATCTGCTGCTCCTCCAGATCAAGAGGAGTTAGCTGAGGTGGCTCAGGCATCTGGTCAGGATGCCTCCAGGACGTCTCCCTGGTGAAGTTTTCTGGGCACGTCCAGCCTGGAGGAGACATTAAAGGAAGACCGACACGTCGGAGGGACTAGGTCTCACGGCTGGCCAGGGAACGCCTTAGGATTCCACCGGAGGAGCTGGCCCAAAAGGCTGGGGAGAGAGAAGTCTGGGCCTCTCTGCTTAGGTTGCTGCCCCCGCGACCCGACCGCGGGTAAGCGGAAGAGAATGGATGGATGGTTTTATTTCAGGAGGTGGCTTTTGTTTACATGCAGAATTCTTGTCTTCCTGGTGTATCTTTAAATATTAACACATTTTTTTAACCAAAAAACACCTGTTTGAGTTTCATTTTGGATTTAAAGGTTCAACATAGGAACACATGTAAACAGGATTTTTGGCTTTACATTTGAACAACAGGAGATGACAGGGATATGTTGTCCATCTGTTTATACCGGTTGTAGAAAAACATTAGTTATTCAGTCCTGGTCCTCTCTATCCAGCATGTTTTCGTTGCACCAGCAGGTGATTAACAGGCTGGTGAACAGGTGATTCAACCATTGAATCAGGTGTGTTGGAGCAGGGAAACAACTAAAATATGCCAGATAGCAGCCATCAAAACCATAATGAGACACTACTGAATTAATGTTCTATAGAGCAGGTTGACTTATTTAAAAATAGGCTCAAAATATGATAAAGCACATTACCTCATATTTGTGTCTATTAGCGCATACAAGGACACCAAGCCCCTCCATAACTCCTTTAGAAAACATTCCCTTTAGGAAAAATGAATCCTTTTATTAACATTTGTTAAAAAAAATACAACTTAGCAACATTTTCATGTGGTCAAGCAACATTTCTCTACTTTTTTAAGACTGAGAGGGTAAAGTTCATGACTGACTACCTTGTATAGATGTCCTCCTTCATAAGAAGCAACACCTTCTCCATGAAACTGTCCATCACGGGTGTCACCTTCATACCTTTCACCAGTAAAAACACTCAGTCTTACAACCCAGTCTCTAAAAGTGAATTTAACAGTAAATATTTCTTGGCCTCTTTGGTGTCATCGTCATAAATGATACCTTTGTATTTCCAGGTAAACTCCAAAGCAGTCGTCGGTAGGGAACCGAAGCTCAGCTCCATCTGCCGCTAATGACCAACTTTTATCTGTGAAATGTTCAGCCGAACTACTGTCATCGTTTTCCGTTGATTTCTGCATCTTTTCCACACGTTTTCTTGTTTTACCCAAAGGTTTTGCCACAGTAGCCTGGTTTTGGGTCCCTCGTATCTCCATGACAACAGAAAAGACTACGGCAGCCTTGTTGGGCCAAAACAAGTAGACCTTTTGAACAAAACAAGCGAAATGAGGCTATTTTAAAGACATTTAAATCCCCACCAAAGCTTTTCTCATCAATTCCCAAGTGATTTTACACCTGGGAGGGTTTCATGCATTTATTTAAAAGTTTCAAATTTATTAGTCATACATGTAAACTCCAAATTTTGAGAAATTAATCTTGTTAGCTACTTTTCGATTTTTGGGGGGGGGGGGGGGGGGGGGATTTTTTTAATCACGTAAAAAAAATGAAATAAAGAAAATCAAAAATTATTTCAGCCATTATAAAGAAGAACCTGTCAAGATAAAAATCATGAAATGCTTCATGACAAAGATAGAAAATAAATAAAAAAGATTAAAAATATCATAAAAAGGAGAAAAAAAACAATTTTTATTAAAAAATGTAAGGAAAAGGAAAGAGAAAATGATCAGTGGATTCCAGGAAAGGCGGAATTGGTAGAAAGAGCTGAATAAAGAGAGGGTAGTGATGAAGATCATGCAAAAGTCAGTCTGAACAGGTGAGTTTTCAGCTGCTTTTTAAAGGAGACCACTGAGTCCACTCACACATATGTATAATTAACATTATCACCATATTTATTCTGAATGCAAAGCATTATTAGTCATTTTTTATGTAAGAACTTCCACAACTGGGAAATAAATCCTACTTGCTAGTGCTCTTAAAGAAATAAAACATTATTTTTCATAACATCCGATATTTTCTAAATGTGTTACAAAATTCTGCAATTTTTCTGTCTCAGATTAATTCGAACCACACTGATTTTGTGGGTCACATTTATTAGAAATCAGAACAAAAATTGCATGGTTCTAAAAATTCTGCGTCCAAATGATCAAAACTGACATTAAAACAAAATCAGTGAGTTCAGAACATGTAAGAATAATAAAATGTTCTCTGAATGTGACAGAAGTGAACTAAAGTGAAGGCACACGCTGTACATGTCCAGCCAGGGAAATGTTCGATTCTGTAGCAGCTTCAGTCTGGTGAGATGATGTCCAGGTTAGCCAGGTGTCTCATAGTGGGTCTGCCGTGAGGACAGTTCCACGGATGCTCGATCTCCCCCATGTGAACCACGAGCTTCTTCATCTCACCAACACTCAGAGCGGTGCCAATCATCACCTGAACGTAAAAAAAAAATCATCAATAAAGAAACGTCACTAACGCAGTTTGAGTGGCTTTCTAACCGAACACTAATGAGAAACTGGCTAAACACTAAAGCTACCGGGTGATCACACACACCTCGATGACTGACTCTTTGGAATATCTTGACATTAAGTGCAACAATAATTTAAAATGAGATTATTTTGATATAAACTCACAGATTTTCGACAAGCTCTGGAGGCAAACATCTGCCGGACTCTAGATGGGCGGCACATGACCCCCGGGCTGTCGCTCAACATGAAGATCAGCTCTTCGATGTCAGCTGGGCCAAAGGTCCAGTTCTTACTGGTGGGCAACGAGACCAATTTAACTCTCTCCATCACCTGAGCTGCAGCGACAGACACAAACCAGCATGAGGAACAGCTCTTCTGTAATAAAGAAGCTCCTGCTTAGCGTCTGGTACTCAACAGTAATTCAAGCATCATACCGTCTTCATCAATCAGGAACTCAAAGCCGTTCTTTTGGAAAATCTCGATATTTTCTATGAGCACATTCTCACTGACAGCAGTAAGATGGAGCTTCTGTGGACTGGAAACATCAACAACACAAACATCCCATCAGAGCAGCGTTACACACAACCACGTGTGCTTTTATGAGCAGATCTAGATTCCTACGCAATAAGCTTCTGTCCCTGGAGCGCAGTGTGCTGCTGCAGCATCTCAAAGTTGTACTTCTCATCTGTGGCGTGCTGGTCGATGATGAAGATATCCGACTCTAGCCTGGCGATGATGAAGCCCAGGTTAAACTGACCGATGATCTCCATTTCTTTAAACATGTCTTTCCTGAGAGGATGAGACACTTTGAAAGTCAGACTCCCAGACTGAACCGGCCAGTTTGCTCTGGACGTGAACTCACCTGATCTCTTTCCGGAGCTCGTCCTCTGCGCTCTGATTCTCCCCGGGGCTGATCTTGGCCCTGAAGCGTCTGTACTGCAACTCCTCGTCGGCTCTCTGCTTCTGCTGGTCCTGCAGCCTCCTCATGCTCGCTGCCAGCTCCTGCAGGGAGAACTGCAAGCAGACCGTCCTCCTCTGTAGGGAGACTGGGGAGTCCACCGTGGACGACAAAGCATCAAAGCAGCGTGAGAACATGTCTGATCTTTGTTCTGCAGTGAAATGCTGAGTCTCTGCCCTGGACCGCTTGGCTTCAGGGCTGATTATGGAGTCCTCTTTGGACGAATACGATTCTGGATCTTCAGGAACAGACAGACTGTCGCATGTTGATCCGTCATTTTCACTTACACCATCAGTAACTGGTTCATACTCTGGTCTTGATGTTGCAAGGTCACAACTAGACACAGAACAGTCTTTCTCACCACAGGACGTCCCTCTGTCCCTGAACCCGTCCAGCACCGACCTACCCACTGGGGGGCATTTGTTTGTATCTCCTGCTGGTTTCGAAAGAGGTTTCATACTTTGGATAGATGCGGGTTTAACAGAGTCCTTAAAAAAACTCTGCAACGTTTTCTGGGTCGTACCACCGCTGGGAGCCTTCTCCTTACTCGCCTTGTTCCCAGAGCTGGTGTGATTAGAGAACGCAGCTTTGAGGGCAGCCAGGTTGATGGGTGACTTTGGGCTCAGACCCACTGTTTGGGCGTTCTCTTCAGGAACTGCTCTGCTTTTGTCAGACTTGAAAATGTCTTCAGGTGCAGATGAGGAAACTAAAGGCCAAAGAGTCAAAACAAGAATTAAAAGGAGAAGAACAAGACAACAGAGTGAGGATATATTCTTACTGGCTGCAGGTTGAACATTCAGGCTGAGCTTATTGACTCCAGCTTCATACATCGTGATGAGAGAAGTTTTAAGAACAGCCAGCAAAAGTTTCTCCTCCTGCAGGAAGATCTGTCGTTTGTCTGGAGTTACGTTCACATCCACACACCCTGAACACAGAACCAAGAAACACTGACATGGTAGAGAGCAAACAAGAACTTCCAAGAAATGCTCTTCTCTCACCCGAGGCAACGGCTATGTTCAAGGCTACAAATGGATACTGCTGCTTGTTGTACGTGTGGTAAACTTCATTCACCAGCTTGGTGACCTGCAGGGGAGGGAAAAGAGGAGTCAGGAGGAAACCACTACGCTTTAATAAACCAGCGTCTACATGAATTACCTTCGGGGGGTCACACGGTCGGCCGTTGATGAAAAAGAACTGCCTGTCTGTGGCACTCCGGCCAACGCCGTGGTCGCCTCTGGACACAAACCCTGAGATTCTGCAAAGACACGCTTTGTTTGTTTTAGGCAACCAGCAACTTAAAGCCAGCTTAAGGATTGAGTACTACTGACAGAAACAGCTGTTTGGGCAAATCTGCGTCCTTAAGCCCGTATTCCTCCAAAATATTCTCTGTAGGAGACACTTGCTGAAAGGGTATGAGGCTCTGAAGCTGCAGGACCCAGAAGATCATGACATGATTATGGAAACCTTTTAATGTGTTTCAGCCTCAATGGTGGTATTCACATTCAAGACTGAAACCACAAAGAACCTGTTTTGGTCCAAAAATGGCTCCGATGTTGTCTCTGAAGCTCTGGCTGCCACTGGTACTGAGGACGGTGCTCCTCTTCCCCTGCCCGTTTTGGTTGGAGCAGGTGAGTCGTACTCCTGTAGAGATGATACAGTAGGCCTGCAGCACATGCAGCATTTTGGCATACTCCTGGAACACAGAGCAGCTGGGTGTCATTATTGGGATTAACATCCTGCAAGAGCGTGACTGGTTGATTTGAAGTGTTGTTTTCATGTTCAGATCTTGTCCTGCTCTCTGTCAAAACACTCTGCTTACACTCAAAAATGCCTTTTTTGCATTCAAATGTGTTTCACTTGCTCTCAAACGGACTCTTTTGCACTTAAATCCATAAAAAAAAAACTTCCTCCCTGGAGTTTCAGCTCCTTCCCTCTGCACTCCTAAAACCTGATCTTGTGAATTTTTCCTGCACTCTTGAATTGAAGTGAGATGGTCCTGCCAAAGGTCCCTCAGCCAATAGGAAGCCAGATGTGATTCTTCTGGAGTATCTCCCACCGGCAAATGTTTAGCACCCCACACACCGAAAACCACGTACCTTTGTCTATCAGTGCTGGGCACACCACCTGAGTCTTAGCGAAACAAGGAAGACTCGTATGGATTTAAGTGACTTTGGATGGATGTTTGGGGTCAGTCGCTTTTCATTTTGTAAATTGATAAATAATGAACAAAGATGGCGCGTGAGAACGATAGGCGGATTTGTGCTGTGTCTGCAGTGATGCGGGCGTGGTACCGATCCGTTGTGGTGAAGAGAGAGCTGAGCTGGAAGGCGAAGTCCCGATTTAACGGTCGATCTGGGTTTCTACCCTCACTTATGGTCACGAGCTTTGGGTAGTGACCCAAAGAATGAGATCGTGGATAGGGTTGCAAGGATACCACTTTTTCCCAAACCGAAACGATACCGATACTTGGATCTGAATACTTACTGATACTGATTACCGATACTTCTACCACACAAAAAAGTACTACTATGAATTAGAATACAGGTTCTCCTTTCTTCTCTGCTTTCAACAGGAAAAGACTGTGAGGTAGATAAAAAGTAAAACATATGAATAGAAATCATCACAAAACTAAAATATTAGGTGAACAGAAATGACAAGTTACAGTGAAGCCACTTTCAAGCGACTGCATTGGTATCGGTATCTGTGCATCCTCAATCGTGGATACAAGCAGCCAAAACGAGTTTTTCTCTGCAGAGTGGCTGGGCTCTCCCTTAGAGATAGGGTGAGAAGCTTGGTCATCCAGGAGGGGCTTGGAGTAGACCTGATGCTCTTCCACATCGAGAGGAGCCAGTTGAGGTGGCTTGGACATCTGGTTAGGATGCCTTCTGGATACCTTCCTGGTGAGGTTTTCGGGGCACGTCCAACTGGGAGGAGACCCAAAGGAAGACCCAGGACACACTGGAAGGACTATGTCTCTCACCTGGCCAGGGAACACCTTAGAAGTGGCCCAAGTGGCTGGGGAGAGGGAAGTCTGAGCCTCTCTGCTTGGGCTGCTGACCCAACCTCAGATAAGCGGAAGAGAATGGATGGATAGATGGATAAAAGAATAATCATTATTTACATTTCTGAAAGCATTCTTTTTTTTTACAGCTTTCATTTAAACTTGCCTAAAACTTTTGCTCAATATGGTTTTAGTCTGGCTACGACTCATAGACAGGAGCTTGATCATGGAGCAGAATCTACGGTTGTCTTTCAAACTGTCTCCGTGCACAATTGGACTGCTCTAGAACCAATTAGGGAAAAAAAACACATCATGTATTCATTGCTACGGAAACCAGTCTATGGGGAGGTCCGCCATACACCCGCTGAAGAAGAATAGATGCGTTAATATCTCAAAGACCCGAGTCTAAATTGTCCAAAGCCGATACCAATGCCTCTTCAAACGAGTGCCATTCCTGAGTTGACGCCATTTTTGTAGTTTTTCTCCACCGCAACTGTGGTGCAAATCCCGCCCAATGTGTCGTCAAATAGAATGCTGAGACTGGTCCAGCCTAAAAGTAGCCACAGAGCTAATGGTAGACCTTCTAAGGCTACAAATGGAGCGTGGCTAGACTGACCTGCAGAGCAAATTCTTTTGCTCCTGCTGATAAAGAGACTACATTGTCTGATTTAATCTTCATGAGCAGCTGGCACACACAGGCAGATTTAATTTGTTTATTCATCAAACAAAAAGTTAAAAAAGGTCAAACAGATCCTGACATATCTGACCTTCTTGATGTTGCGTTGGAACTCCTTGTGTCTAACAGGCAGGGTGTAGAAGAGCTGCTGTAGGGTGACTGTGGTGCCTTGCAGCCTGGGATGAGGAGACTGCTGTACCAAGTGGCCTTTGTGGTCAAACGCAAGCTTGGTGCCTACCTGGCTTGACTCGTGGCATGTGATGACACTCAGGTCACTGCAATCAGACACAGATGTTGATCTGTTGAGTCTACAAATAGCCCAGACTAATGCACAGAAGAAACACTTACCTTAGGGCACACAAAGAGCTGAGGGCTTCACCTCGGAAGCCAAACGTTTCCACGTGGATTAGATCGGAGAAGTCTCTCAGTTTTGATGTGTGATGCTTGAGTGCTGTGGAAAAGAGAGGAACCATGTAACACAAACAGAGGGAAGGAAATATACAGATGAGAGCAGACACTTACTGAGTCCTTCAAAGTTAGCCTCTTCAACACCTTTACCGTTGTCTGACACTTCTACTTGTTCCACACCACACTCCTTCAGTTTGACTTCTGAAAAATGTACAAACGGGACATTAATCGGGAATGAAAAGCCATTATATGCAGTGTTATTTTTTTAAATGTACACATTTACACCTTCCAAAGCAACATCACTTTCCTCCTCTTTCTGAAAACCTAAACCACGATGCCTGCATGATGCTAACAATGTTCTGGTTTCTAGAGCAAAATGCAAACATCCCAGCTCATGTTTTTATAAAAGACTGAAGATAAATTAACTGACCAGACTACTTAGCAGATCACTTTGCTCACCTATGTTGGTGGCTCCAGCATCAATGCTGTTCTCCACCAGCTCTTTCACAGCAGTGGCCAAACTCAGGACCACTTGTCCTGAGCAGATCTGGTGCACAGAGTGCTTGTCGATAGCCTTGATGGCTCCAGCAGGCTCAGAAGTGCTGAGAAGAAAGCCATTTTCATGAGGTCACTGGTAAAAATACTAAACCATCATTTGTTTACTAGATGTTTTCTGAACATGCTTTGGATTAGCACTACGTCATGACACGACCATAGAGAGTTCATGTCAAAGTTATTGCATATTCCTTGCTGCAAGCACACATGACAGAATTAGGGCAAGTTAAATCAAGAAAAAAGGAGCTAGCTCACCAAACATCAGACATCTTCAAAGGTGTTCCAGTATCTATAGCCACTAACCAGGCAGCTACATATTCACCCCTCTCTAAACAGTTTATTTACACACCGACTCCCGCTTCTCACAGCAGCGAAGACATGTCCCGCCCGCCCGGTGTGCGCACTCTGCTCGCGGGCACTAAGGTTGCGCATGAATTGCGCAACTGAAATTAATTATGAAAAAGGAGGCGTCTTTAAAAATGAGCAAGGAATGAAATCTCAAACGCGGCAAAAATAGAGGAAGAGAAAGCGTTAAAATAAACCACGTTATTGGTAACATAAACGTCATCACCTGACGCACCAGATAAGGAACCGTGTGCAATTTCCTTACATTGTAATACAACGAAAAGATAAATATAATGGTTCTCATTAAAGCTAAACTTTTTAGTGTATGTGCTTATTTAATTAGAATACAACTTATGAATTGTTTGATATTTTGGATTGGTTTTGAAAGCAATACATGTTACTTTTTCTTTTTAACTGTGTCGTACATTACAGACGGTCCCTGAGAACCGGTAGCTCATGATCATGGCCGACCGCTGACGCGAAGCATGGGGACTTTACCCAAATGGTCGCGTGAAGTTCCTTATTTAAAGCTAATGTTTGCCCAGCATTCCGAGTCGGTTTACGACAGACATGGGGTAGCTGTCAGGAATCTGTTCTTAGTAAAAATCGTTTAAATATATTACCAAGTATTTATTTCTTTTTCAAAATGTTCTATTCGGCGTCGGACAACCGTGTGGTACTCTCGGAGGAATGTTCTGGCAACAGCAGCAACATGTTAATCCGGCGCAACCTCACTACCGTCAGGAGACGGGAATTGGAGAGTAGCTTGCTAAACTTAGCAAGCGAAGAGGACGAAGAAGTTCAGTTTGACAGTGAGCTGCTTTTCTTCTTTTGCTTTAACACAGAAAATATTGTAGTTTCATTGAGCATTTGGTGGTCTTTATCTCATATTTCTGGTCACGTATATAACATTTCCAAAACGTTACTTGATGCAATGTTTTCAGATCTCGCGAGACTTAAAAATGCAGCTAGGGAACATCGAGATCATTTGAAGTAAATAAACAATAAATGATAGTTCAGTCTGCTATGTTAATGTTTTGTTGGGGTGTGGTTTATTTTTATTTTTGTTCTTTCTGTTAGTAGTCCGTCTTTGACAAACTGAACAACCCGAGTCATTTAGTGTAAGAATAATAATTTGTAACAGTTTTGCTCAGAATTAATACTTTCTTTAAAAACTTTGCTGTTTGTGCCTTTTTTCCATTACCATGTTTATTTTCATTCTTTTCAAAGATTATAGGTTTGCAAAGAACCTGAACTTTGGATACTAACACATTTTCGGCAGATCTGATTTGTGTATGCACACAAGAGATCTTATGGAGTTTCTTGAAATTATGTTAAGATAAATTAATATTTTTATTTAATAGTTATATCCTTTATTTTTGTGTTCTATGTTTTGATCAAATGGAAAATATTTTTTTAGACATTTTTCTGTCTAAACTTAATAAATTATTACTGTTTTAACTGCTGTGGATTTTTTCCTAAAATATATTAAAATAGCCTCATGAGTCCAATTCTGTTAAGATCGAATGATCAGTTCCCCCATGCTGAAGTAGGGCTGGACAATATGGCCTAAAATCAACATCAGGATATGAGGATTTCATTTCAACTGCAGGTGTGCGCAAAAACAAAAGTTGTCCACTAGATGGGGCTGTCACATACATTACGTTGAGTCACATTTTTACGTAACTCAAGGTGGTACAGCTTCTTAAAAGGACATGGATGTTGCCAACCTACACACATCTTTTCATTTTTTTTATTATCAAATTTATTGACGTGGGAAAATGATCTTGATGAGAGTCAGAAATTTTGCTAACGAAAAAATGTTCGATTTATTGCCCAGCCCTATGCTGAAGCAAAATGTAGTTATTTTTCTGATGCTTCCAGGTCTTAATTCTGCCATGAATTTGCTTATATCTCATCTTAAAGGGACTTTACGGAGTTTAGAATTTTTATGCTCACGATTGCCCCCTCAAGCCAAAAGCATAACGGCAGCTTCAATAGTAGGCTCGTGCACGAGGCGCGCATGCTGTACGTGCACACTCCTTAACGAAAATAACAGCTGAGACAGTCCTGTGTGTGTGTGTGTGTGTGTGTGGCCCAGAGGACAGAGGAAAGGAGAACGTGCAGCTAATTAATTAAATAATTTGGTTCTGTACCTTTCTCTTCAGCACAGCCGACAAAGGTTTATAATGGGTCTGTCCTCCTGCATGCTCAGATCATTCCCTTCCCTTGCTTGAAAAATTGTTCCAAATTGAAAGTTGAACCCACATCTTTTTTATCTGTGAATTCAATGCCGTTCGGCGATTCTCAAATAAAAATGTGGGCATCTTACTGTAAAAAATATACCATTAATGTAAAAATGAAACTCTAAATAAAAAAAGTATGGTCACATCCAGACTCAAACCCGGGTCGTCAGTTCATCAGTCCGATGTCTTACTAGGTGAGCTAAACCGCCAGTGACATCTCTTGTATCTGTAACATTTATATCGTTGATAACTACTGAAACAACGTTCAAAGAACGGTTCGGAGCAAAAATGGCTATTTTGTTGCTAATTTGCAGGAAATATCTAGAAGAAAGTTCTACAGAAAGTAGCTAAGGGTCCTCAGAAATGTAGCTAGGTTCATCACTAGGCGTTAGGAACAGCGACAAAGTCGCTGAGTTGGCACTACCTCTCTCTGCTGCTAAAGCTACTGAAAGCAAATGCTACGGGCGATGCCTGAGCGTGAACACGCATGAAGCAGCCTGCTCGACCCGAGCAGCTCTCTTTTTCTGTGATTTTACAGAAAAACAGGCAATCACAGTAAAAATGCCAGGGCTCATTCTACAGGACCAGCGCATTGCAGGAGAATGTATGAAGAAGAAATGTATTATTTCTATACATGTTTTGGCTGTCAAACTTCCATAATGCCCCTTTAATTAACCACATAAAAAAAAAACGTTGTCAGTTTGTGAACTGTTGTGAAATTCTGGAGATAAAAACAGTTTTCAGATGTGTGTTATTTCTGGTAACTGAGGCCTTCATTAACGGAGGTAAAATATTCCAACATTTATCCAGAAGCAAACCCCAGAACGTTACTTCTTTTAACTTCAGGGCATCATCAAAAGCAGCAAATAAGATACATTCTGACTCATAATATCATTTTGCGACCAAATAGCGATGTGTATTGGTTAAATTATGGTGATGTGATATGTATCACGATACCGTGGAGACGTTACAATATATCACGATGTATCGCGATACATTCAGTCAGACGTTATTAGTGATTTTTGTAGACTGAGTTTATTATAGGAAAATTCAGTAAATAAGCGGATACTTAACATGTTTAGCATGAGGTATCTTAACCATAATAGAAGTATTTATATTTCAATGGCAGAAACAAAACCCATTGCACACTGCTGCCAACTAGCGGTCGGTGATTTAATTGCATCAAAAGAAAAAGAAAATACACAAATGTTTGCATGTAAATTACTGATGCACAGATGTAAAATTTTGGGGCCGATACTGATATCCGATATTAATCTCACTGTTGTGGCCGATAACCGATATTTGCTCAATACCGATATACTGACATTAATGCTTTTAAAATCAGCAGATTTTGTATAGAATTAAATTATTAAAGCTGACTTTAAGTTATTATGTACACACACCACACACGTTTATGGTTCTGAGATGATTACATTAACTGTTCACATGAATAAACAATTACACATCACCCCCCTCACCCTCTGAAACAGGCAAACAAATGGAGACGAGATGGAAAAAATATCTGTTGTTAATATCAGCTTGGCTTTATTTATCGAACTGATACCGATATGTTAAAAAAATGACTAACATCGGCTGATACCGATATGGATTCTGATATATTGGCCATCTCTTAATGTAAATTCTTTCAAAAATTAGATACACGACTTTTGAATATCGATATAATATTGCAGGGAAATGTATCACGATATATTGCCATATCAATATTTCCTAGCATCCCTAGGGTCCAAGCATGTCCTAAATGTCACACACACTTTAAAGAAAGAGGATGTGAAACCACTGGACTAGAAAATTAGGCTTTTTAACATTTCTATTTCTCACTCATATGTGCAGTAGGTGACGGGGAGGGGCTTGGTCTCCACTGGATGCAGCAGATAAGAGCTTCTTCTGTGCACACCCCCCTGTGTATAAACAAGATGAGCTTATTTAATGTGTTGCAGTCGGAGGGAATAATCATTAGAATAGTTCGGAGTATTGCATCAGAAAGGTCATTATGGATACAAATATGGACCTATTAGAGAAAAACATAGTTGAAATGATGGCTAAATTTATCGAAGAAGGTAAGCTGTACTGTCTACGTCAAACTTAAAATGAACTTATGCTATGCTATATTATTACCATATAGGTAACAATAATGTGTGTTTTGGTGTCTTTATGTTAGATTTGATTACATGGATGTAGCTGTATTTTGTCCCTTTTGTATTTTCAGCCTCTGATACAGAAAATAGCGGCGAGGTGCTGATGGCTGGTAGACATTACTCATCTATCCAAGAGTTTGCCTCTGCGATCCCTAACCACCTTCTCCTCGGGTCACTGCTCGAGCACCTGTGCTGCGTCTACGAGAGCAACCCCGCACGCTCACGCATGCTCTTCAAAGGTATTTACGCCGTTAGATCACACCTTGTAAATATGTTGATCACTGTCTCCACAGCATGCTGAGAAAACTGTGATGTTATGTCCCAATCATACATGATTTCCCTGCTCTCCCGACAGTCATAGGCCAGCGTTTAGCAGCCATGAACCTGCTTTCACCTTTGGCCATAAGTGATGAATTCAGCACCGTCAGGCTCCAACACAACTGGGCCTTCACTGAGCTGCTGAATGCTGCTAGCTCCTCACTGTATCCACAGGTACACACCTCACTTCTCTACACGCTCGCTGTTGGATACGACAGATTATCAGGGCTCGGAATAAAAAATAATTCTGGAGGAATATCTTATTTTGGGTCTTAATTTTGAGATTTATCTCTAAATGTCAAGAAAGAGATTAAAAAGATATTTATTATTATTATTATTATTATTTTTATTTTATGATTATTGTTGTTGTCTTTGTTGTTATTGTTGTGACCAATCAGGCAGAAGACGATCATATGTAGGATTTACAGAACAGTCTTTCATAATAAGAGTCTCACACACACACACACACACACACACACACACACACACACACACACACACACACACACACACACACACACACACACACACACACGGTGCTTTTATATGACACGCCATGCCGGCAAATCGGCGTAATATTACCACAACGATATGTCTATAAACTTGCGTGAAACTGGAGCACCGCAGCGCTCCATGAGCCTCTCTGAGCTGAAGCTCAGATCACCAGAGACTGCACAGGGACCGATGGGGACAGACACCTTTAGGAGCTGCTTGTTAAAATAAAGTAACGATCACGGCTTCAATCGCAATAAAAAGCAAGTTATGTCCAAGATAAACGGAAGTCTGCGACAGCGCAGAGACCGCCCCCATACCCACTTTATGCCGCCATCACCTAATCTTTTATAAAATTGCCACGATTGCGCCACATTACCGCCACGGTCTGATCTTATAAACGACCTTTATCCTCCCCAGGGAGCCGCGGCAAATCTTGTTTTGCAAACGGCATGGTCCTGTAAAAACAGCTACACACACACACACACACACACACACACACACACACACACACACACACACACACACACACACACACACACACACACACACACACACACACACACACACACACACACACACACACACACACACACACACACACACACACACACACACACACACTAGTCTCTGTATCCTTATGTGGACCCTCCATTGACTTCCATTCATTTTTGGGGCTCCTGTGTCTAACCCGAACCATAACTAATGCTGTTCTATTCCTAATCTTAATCTTGGATCTATCTAAAACCATGTTTAAGGCTATTTTGTCATTTTGTGGACCAGCCAGATGTCCCCAGTGTGGGAATGTTCACACACTACAGGTTAAAAGTTTAAATTTGTCCACTGAAGCATATAAAAACAAGTACACACACACACACACACATGAATGTGGTGTTATTTACATACGGCTCTAGGTTTAAGAGACATTTGAGCTAAAAGATGTTAGAGTAAGGTTTTGAAAGTCTGTGCTTCAGTGCTAGTTTAAATTTTCCTTTTTTTTGTCCTAGTTATTGATTTTACTCATTATTAAAATTTATCACAGAAATAGCATTGGAAAACATTTATTTATTTATTTAAACATTTTCTTGACATTTTGACTCCATTTCACAACAGAAAGGACAACAAAAAAAGTCTACTCTTGTGTGAGTGGCCCTAATGTGCAGTCACATAATGTGTAGGTAGAAATTAATAACACAGAAAGATTGTTTGTGTTTTTATGTTGCACAGTGTTCACTGTCTGATTATTTCCTTTTGCAGGGGCAACATTTTAGTACAAACACACACAATCCTGCTGTCAGGTAAATCCTTGTTGGAGTTTTAATGTCGTCCTGCTTGCAGTAACTTTGGAGGAGTTTATCAGAAACGGTTGTGCGTCCCCACAGGTCCAAGGAGGGACTGTTCCAAGCACAAACATCACGATATCTGAGTGAGTTTGAGGAGCTCTGCAGGCTTGGGAAAGGATCATATGGGAATGTTTTTAAGGTATTTTATGTTCCATTCAAACGTTTCTTTTTTAAACTCCACCAGAAGAGCTGAATTCAGTCGACATCGTTCTGATAATATCTGTGCTGACTCTGCAGGTTATGAACAAACTAGATGGACAATTTTACGCTGTGAAGAAAATTCTCATTAAAAAAGTCTCAAAGGAAGACTGCATGAAGGTCTGCTGTCTGGCTTTTGTTACTTAGATAAATGAAAGACTCGTCATATTTAATGCCTTTATTCTGTTGGCTCTAGGTCCTCAGAGAAGTCAAAGTCCTATCCAGCTTGCAGCATGTAAACGTTGTGGGTTATCACACCGCATGGATGGAGCATGTTCAGCCGGCAGCATGTAAGTCTTACCCTGTGACGCACTCGCCTGGCCTGCCAGACTAGTCCTCTGTTTAATTCTGCACAGAGAAAGAGTCTGGTAACTCACAGGCTGAGGGGCGGGGCTAGGCAGCTCAGAAATAACCAATCAGAAAAAAGACTGAAATGCCGACTTGGCGCTATAGATTTTTAGCTGTAGTCAAAAATGGCATCTGGTGACAGCACAAACATCTTTCTTTAGAAGAAAGGCTTTTAGCGCTTCTACTTGTTTTAAAGACGTTGTTTTAGACCAGAGGAAAGAGCCGCGGCAAACTCCGCTTCAGTCGCCATGTTTATGACAAACTCGGCGTTATGGTGTGTGACACACGCTACTCAGCGCTGATCGGCTCGGTTAGAATTATCACGGGGTGGGGTTATTTGAATAGGAGAGTTCCCAGACCCTTTCTCTGTGCAGGATTAAACAGAGGAGGAGTCTAGCAGGCCAGGCTAGCAACGTGCTGGCTCAGCTGAGGTGACAAAAGGGAGAATAATCCCTCTTCTGTATAAAATCTCTATGCTGCAGACCCCGAGTCACACCTTCCCGCTCTGAAATCTCCTGGTCAAGAAGACGGGTAGGATGCTGGACATAAAGGACATCTGCTGCTCCTAAATGAGCTTTTACTTGCTCTACAGGAATGTGTGACATTAGCTATTCTGTCTTTTACAGTTTTAAAGACAGCCCTGAAAACAGCAGTAGCAGCTCTTCTATAGTGTTTGAAAGTTTAAGTCAACCAGGGGCAGATGCTGTTTCAAAAGCCAAAGACTCTCCATCAGATGGCCACGTGGTGTGTCCTAGGACCATGCGTCGCATCCCTGAGAACTACGTGCCTTGTGTGTTCCTGGGTCAGCGAGAGCCTAAAAGAGGCTCCAAGTGTCTGGCTATGGGCTGGGATGCTTCGCCGTTGTTGGAGGAGGGGTCGAGCAGGAGCAGCATTGAACTGAACAACAACTCCTGTCTCGACAAGGAATGTCCTCAGTGGGCTGACAGGAAACGCACAAGAAGGCCTTCTAAAGAGGTACATGCTGCAGGACGCTCTGGGATCAGCCTGGAACAAGAAAAATAAAGCAGGATTTTATTTGAACTAAGCATGTAAAGCTTAAAAGAGATGAACGTTTTATGTATTGGTTTTCTTTGTGTGCAGGTACATTTCCACCTGATGCTTTATATCCAGATGCAGCTGTGTGAGCGCTCACTAAAGGACTGGATCTCTGAGAGGAACGCTAGACCAATAAACAACCACATATCAGGGAGTAAGTCTTTTAGTCAGTATCTCACTGGGCTGTGGCTGGTGGAGACAAATTTAAAAAAAAATTGCCATTTCAGACAAATAGTTTCAAAGTTTCCTAATTATGTGTCAATTTCTTCACCACGTTGCCCTTTTTTGGTCATTAATCTAGCCCAACGTTATCCTGTATTTCTTGTCTTCTGTGACTCGTGGACATTAAATTGAAAAGGCTTCGGGAACAGTTCCAGACTCCCACATCGACTGTATTTTTTGTTACATATTCTGAATTCTAGCAATGCCAGATTGAGGCTCTGCGACTAACACAGGAACTCCAGAACTCTGCGTCCATTACGAGACGCTTTGGGGACATCATTGTTTGTCTTTTGCCACCGGGAGCTGCAGCCCAGTGAGAAACTGGGTTTATGCCTTTTACATACAAATGTAGTGTTTCTTTTACCAGTGCAGACCACAGGGCTTCTCTATTAGTTGTAATTCTAATCTCAGTGACGATCTGGGTTTTGAATGATTGTAAAGACAAAGTCAGCTGATATTTGCTCCTCCTTTGCGGTAGGGCTGCTCAATTAATCGAATTTTAATCACGATTACGATCTGAGTTTTGAACGATTATAAAAAACAAAACAAGCCGATTATTTGCTCCTCCCGCTTGCGCTGCCCTGAGTTGCAAATGAAGCGCTCCTCCACAGTGTTGCCAACTTAGCGACTTTGACGCTATTTCTAGCAGCTTTTCAGACCCCCTTCTTGACTTTTTAATCCTAAAAGTACCTAGCGAACATCTCAGAAACATCTCTGGTAACCCTTAGCTACTTTCTGGATAACGGTCGTCGACATTTCCTGCAGGTTAGCTAAACACTCCGCCTGAGCTCCGGACCGTTCTTCACAACGTTAGGAAAGGGAATGATGCAGTGATGTGTCGGTCGCTAAAGACAGCTCTCGGACCGCACCTGCGGACTCCTGAGCAGCTAAAAACAGCTAAATGTGCGCGTGCAGTGTGCTAAACACACGTGCAGCTTGCCCGATTGCTGTGAGACCGGGTTGGGGGGTGGGGGGTGCAGCTGTGGTTGGGACAATTATTACATTAACTGATGAACTTGTAAATAAATAGTTTATAAATAAGGTAGAAATAAGTTCCTCACGCTGATAACTAATAACTAACCTCTCTGAGGACACGGTGCTCCTACAGCACCTTGACACGACTCAATAAATGTTATGCAACATTTTGTGAACATCAATTTATTTGCATTTATTTGTTATAAATGCCACTGTATAATTCTTGCTGTCAGTATCTGCAAGATATTGGTATTTGGTTCTGTACTGGTTAGACTTAAATGAGTTAAACCAAGGTCTATAGCCCTTGGGTCAAACTATGAGCTATAAGTATATTGGTCTTTTTATACTGGGAATCAGGAGTTATTTTAGTGATCATCTTGTTTCTTATTTTTGTCCTAATTGTGCCCCGAGCAGTTTTATGACTGAATAAAAACAAATAAAATCATCATAAATTGAAAAATCGTCCTAAATAATCGTGATCTCAATTTCAGTCACAAAAATCGTGATTATTATTTTTGCCATAATCGAGCAGCCCTACTTTGCGGGTTATTCTCGCGCTGCTCCGAGTTTCAAATCGAGCGCGCCTCCCACAATTATTGCCAACGTAGCAATTTTGTTGCTGTTTCCAACAACTTTTCTTCCCCCCTTCTTGACCTTTTTCCTAAAAGCACACATCGACATTTCTGATGACCCTTAGCTACTTCCTGTTAAACTTCGTCGTCGATATTCCCTGAAGGTTAGCAAAACACCCAGCCCGCACTCCTGACCATCCTTCCAGACACTAGGAAAGGGAATGGTGTGTGCATGTGCAGCATGAGCACGTTACACCAACTAACTAATCATAAACCTTTCTCTGTGGATCTTGCTCGCAAAAATAAATAAATAAATAAATAAATCAGCTGTTTTACAAGCAACATAAACTCAAGCTGCAGCGAGCCATGTCTGAGGTGGCTATTTTAACAGGGATGTTAATTCTCTCAGTGAGCGTGAGACAGACATTTGACTGATTCAAAACATGTCCACTAATTGAGAATAAAGCAATGCAACTTTAATAGTTTAATTGAAAAATGTCAATAGGTGTGTTTTCTTTTCCGGAATTTCAGGGTAAATGCAGCGAGGGGGAAAATGACCAACGGCCCGGTCCTCCTACAGCTGTCCTGTCTCCAGTTATTTACAGTTTGGCCTTGTAAGGAATGTGCACATCCCGACCGCTGCGTCAGAACGCAACTCGTGCTTTCCTAAATGCCGGTTCTCCGCCCCGTATGCATTTCTTACTTCCCACGACAACATAATTTCCGACTGAGTTACAAACAATTGGCGGCATTCGCACCCACAAACTGCACCGGGCCACTTCGAAGACCTCTGAACAGAAACTCAAAAGGTTCCTGAAAACGTCCGTTCAGCTGGCCCGGTCGAGTGGAGACACGTGCATGTCGAGAGGTTCCTGCAAATCTACCCTGAAGCTCCGGTAGTGGAAACCAAGCTATTGATGCTGTTATCAGTCTAATTTGTGGAATTTGTTCTTATGATCTTTACATTTTTAACGTTAATCACAGTTTTAATTTAAGTACTGTATATTTAATAACCCTTGGTATATTCAGTCTTTAAATCAATCTACTCTACTTTTAACCTCACCTGACCAAAGTGAGGTTTACTACATGTGTGGGATTTCAGGAGCTGAAAATACTCTCTAAAACTCACGCAGCCACTTGGTTGCGTTGACAACCGTGCCTTCATGGTTAGGCTCCTACCACTAAAAACGGCATTTTTACAGTTGAATATATTAAAATGTTTTAAAGATATTAATGCCGAAGTCGTAGCCGGCTATTCCTGAACGAGCTCAGTGCCCTGATTTGCATAGATTGTTAAATATTATGGGAGGAAATGTTCGGCGAAAAAACAGACCAAAGGATCTTGAAAGCATAATAAAGAGAAACAGGAATATTAATGTTTGAATGCTTACAGCCATCAAAGAAAATATGAGTGAAGGATCTCAGTAACTGTCATTTGGTTCTTTCAAAATAAAAGCACCAGCTGCATCACAACTATAACAAAAAAAAAAATGAACCTATTTAAAATAAACAAATATTAACAATGTCATTTTCATTTAGATGAATTACAAAAAACTAAACACTTCCATCAAGGGTGGCTATAACTCCCGCCCCTTCCCTGACACACATCACTGCATGTCCTAAATCATCTGTAGCAAAAAGGAACTCAAGCATTATGTCACAGAAAACAGCCGTCCAAATAATTTCTGTGTCTTCTTGTGCTGCGTAGCGGTCTTCTCTGGGAGCTCCGGTTCAACTAACCAGACGCATATACACTCACTGGCCACTTTATTGGGTACACCTGTCCAACTGCTCGACACAGATTACTAATCAGCAAATCTCATGGTGGCAGCTCAATGCATTTAGGTATGTGGATATGGTCAAGACGGTCCGCTGCTAGTCATGTGTATTTGTGAAATTCTGGCATTACAATATGTATCACGATACAGGGGAGACCATACGCTATATCACAATATATTACGATACATTCAGCCAGACAATATTAGTGATTTTTTTAGACTGAAATAATAGTAGGAAAATTCAATAAACAGTCCAAACTGATACGTAACATGTTTAACAAGCGATATCTGAACCAATATAGAGGGATTTACATTTCAGTGGTGGAACAAAACATAACCCATTGCACACTGCTGCTCACTAGTGGCCAGCGTTTGAATTGGGCGAAAAAAGAAAAGAAAATACACAAATGTTTGCATGTAAATTCTTCCAAAAATTAGATACACGGCTTTTGAATATCAGTATAATACTCCAGGGAAATATATCACGATATATTGTGTTATCGGTATTTTCTTACATCCCTATCCGCTGCAGTTCAAACCTACCTGAGTGTTGTTGCTGACCATGTCCCTCCCTTTATGACCACAGTGTACTCATCTTCTGATGGCTACGTCTAGCAGTATAATGCTCCATGTCATAAGCCTAACCCTATTAACCATTAAACCTAAAATGTTTTGTTTAATGAATACCCAAATGTAGTAATGCACAGTAATATATGGTTGACGTGATATAAATGTAGCCATCACGCTGTTCTACATGGTTTTATATTTGACTTTTATTTTGTCTTTTCAGCTCCATATGATCTTGTCGATACTGAACACACTCTGAGCTTGCTGAAAAACATACTGGAGGGAGTGGAGTACATTCACTCAAGAGGAATCATGCACAGAGACCTGAAGGTAACATTTTATTCAGGGGTTTACTGCCTCTTGTACCTAAAATGTGGGATTCGTTATTTACCAACCACCCTTTCACCGTCTAACTCTAAAGAGAGGTGTTGAGTGTCCCACTGATTAAACACAAAGTCATACAGATTCCCCGTTCTTCTTTCCATCCACTTACACATTTCAGGTAAATCTCACCCTTACACATATCTTTAAGTGTCCTTGGCTGCTGCATCAGATTGATTATTTGGTTTCTTTGTTTAACATACCTGCAAACTTGTCACTTTTTGGCAAAAATCGCCGTTTTTGAAGCCAAATAAGGCGTTCACTTGAATGGTCTGGATCCGAAGAGTTTTTATTTTGAGGGGAGGGTCTTCTGTCGGGTTTCAGCATAGGGAGCCTAAGTCTTCTCCCTTTCCGGTTGGCTCATGGGTCCCCGGAAGAACGACAAAATGAATGCAGGTCAACGGGGCTAAAAACGCTATTTTCTGATCCGCTTTGCCTTACGCCCTGGATCGCACATATGTTGTACTTCAACTTAAATGAAAAGTAATGATGGGTGTTTTGACAATGCTAGTTACATACTTTGAGATTTATTAGCTTGTAAAAGTTTGTAATTAGCATGACTACACACCAGAAATCGGCACGTCTCATATGTGACGTCACCACATAATCTCCTCTCCCCTGTAGCTGCTACTTACCACATGACCAGATTTATGATGGTTATTTCCTCCTGTGGGAAGTTCGCTGCACTTACAGCCATTTTCCCTCCTTTTCTCCGTGTCTGGTTTGATGACATCACTTTCGTGAAGTGATGTCATCACCGAACTCCTCCCATGCCCGGGTTTTTGCCTTGGCGACCTCCTGAGCCACGTTCTGTTTGGACTGCCGGTACCCGTCAGCTGCCTCTGGAGTCCCACAGGCCAAAAAGACCTGATAGGACTCTTTCTTCAGCTTGACAGCATCCCTAACCGCCGGTGTCCACCAGCGGGTCAGGGGGTTACCACCACGACAGGCACCGACAATCCTGCGACCACAGCTCCGGTCGGCCGCCTCAACAATGGAGGCACGGAACAGGGACCATTCAGACTCAATGTCCCCCACCTCCCCCGGAACATTTTGGAAGTTCTGTCGGAGGTGGGAATTGAAGCTCCTTCTGACAGGAGACTCTGCCAGATGTTCCCAGCAGACCCTCGCGATACGTTAGTAGTCAGTTGACAGCTCCGCCCCTCTCCTCACCCGAGTGTCCAAGACATGCTGCTGCAGGTCAGATGAAACAACAACAAAGTCGATCATCGAGCTGCGGCCTAAGGTATCCTGGTGCCAAGAGCACATATGGACACCTTTATGTCTGAACATGGTGTTCATTATGGACAATCCATGACTGGCATAGAAATCCAATAACAAAACACTCGAATTCAGATCGGGGGGCCGTTCCTCCCAACCACACCTCTCCAGGTCTCACTGTCGTTGCCCACGTGAGCGTTAAAGTCCCCCAGCAGAACAAGGGAGTCACCGGAAAGAGCGCTTTCCACCACCCCTCCAAGGTCTCCAAAAAGGGTGGGTAGTTTGAACTGTAGTTTGGTGCATAAACACAGACCACAGTCAGAACCCGTCCCCCCACACGTAGGCGGAGGGAGGCTACCCTCTCATTCACTGGGGTAAACCCCAACGTACAGGCACCAAGATGGGGGCAACTAGTATGACCACCCCTGCTCGGCGCCTCTCAGTGGGAGCAACTCCAGAGTGGTAGAAAGTCCAACCCCTCTCAAGGAAACTGGTTCCAGAGCCAGAGCCATGCGTTGAGGTGAGTCCGACTATATCTAGTCGGAACCTCTCAACCTCACACACCAACTCAGGCTCCTTCCCCACCAGAGAGGTGACATTCCATGTGCCAAGAGCCAGCTTCTGTAGCCGAGGATCAGACACCCAAGGTCCCCGCCCTCGACTACCACCTGTCACACACTGCACCCGACCCCTTTGGCCCCTCCCATGAGTGGTGAGCCCATGGGAAGGGGGACTCAAGTTTCCTCTTTGGGCTGTGCCCAGCCGGGCTCCATGGGTGAAAGCCCGGCCACCAGGTGCTCGCCAACGTGCCCTACCTCCAGGCCTGGCTCCAGAGGGGGGCCCCGGTGACCCACGTCCGGGTGAGGGAACACGGTTTCCATTTATATAATTCATCATAAGAGGTCTTCGGGCTGCTCTTTGTATGATCCCTCACCTAGGACCTGTTTGCCATGGGTGACCCTTCCAGAGGCAGAAAGCCTCAAACAACTTAGCTCCTAGGATCATTGAAACACAAACCCCTCCACCACGGTAAGGTGGCAGCCCAGGGAGAGGTATTTCATTATTTATTGATTTTTGGCTGAAACAACTTTTCATAAAAACATTTTAGTGATATTTTGACCAGTTTTACTCCACATTTATACTTGATTTCCACGTCAGCTCCAGCTGACAGCAAACTCATCACACTCAGCTCTTCTGCAAGAAGCAGCACCATGAAAAGGAGGAACAGCAAAGTCCTACAACAAGAGGACAGAGCTGCATATGGAGGTTTTCAGATGCACATTGGGTTTAATTTATTTGGTTTGTTTGACATTTATTTTCTTTAAGACTTTTAGTTCTTACCGAAAATCCAGAAGGTTTTTGCATTTACCTTCCAAATCGCTCCTACACATGCGCCCTGCTGTGGCTCAATCAGACAACTGACCCTGTGACTCCTTGACATATCATGAATGGCTCTCATGTTTTCCTCCATAAGTGGTTGTTGTAAGGGCGGATGGCTTTATCGCTGTTGCTTCTGTTTTCTGCAGTCCTCCAACATGGCTGGGTCTCTGACTTTTTTGTGTTTATTTTTTTATTAGTTGTGTAAAATCAGACTTTTCTGGTTTTAATCCCAATGGGTTGCTTCTCAGAGAACTAATGATCCAAGCACTTATCAGTCTTTTCGTCTTCCTTGTTTGGTGTTTTGATCCACTGCTTCTGTTTTGAGTCTGATTCGATCACATTCAGATGTCCTCGTCTAACTTTGACGTGCAGCCTTGCTGTCCACGCTGATAACTGGTGGCTGCAGATCCGGGGCCTTCCTGGGGACTGTTTACTGTTGCTCTGGTGCCTGTCACTCCTCAGGCTTTTCCGTTAGAGCAGCATTTTCCTTATTTGCATACTTTTTATGATGCATTTTAAAGGGTAAAAATGCAGCATTTACATTCTGACTGATTAGCTCATAAGAAGGTCAATTTTTTATGCTTCATACTGTTTCTTTTCAAGGCTGTATCCAGCATCTGCATCATAGTGGTGTTTCATCACCAGAAGGAATGCGAAGCTAGATTTGCTCTCATGAAGTTGTTCGTAACTTTTATCTTTTTATGTCTGCTTTTGCTGTAGTGACGCACCAAACTGGTCCTAATGTCCTTGTATTTTTTTTCCCTGCAGCCAAGGAACATCTTCCTTCATGGTCACGACTGCCATGTCCGGATTGGGGATTTTGGTTTGGCCTGTAGGGATATAATATTCGATGATCACAAAATAACCACTTCTGGTGGCGATGGTAATCTTGTCCCTCATGGCTTGTTGTATTTTTAAACCATGAGTGATTTCATAATCACCAGTAGGTGGCACCATTTTCCCTGATGTCTTGTTTATTCTGCAGATTCTGCTCATACTTCAGGTGTTGGTACATTTGTGTATGCAGCACCAGAGCAGCTGAAAGGCTCCCATTATGATTCTAAGGTAAACACATTTTAATGGCTTCAATTGAAGCCATTAAAATGTCTATCTAATTATCTAATTATCTAATTAGATACAATACTTTATATATTGTGATTGACCACTTTCATGAATTAGGCTGTTTACTTAAATTCCTCCTTGCATCTGTTATGTATGATGTTAATTAAACAGAGTATCATGTTGCCCTTGCAGTCAGATATGTACAGCATCGGAGTTCTCCTCTTTGAGCTATTCCAGCCTTTTGGGACTGAGATGGAGCGAGTCCGGACCCTCGAGGACCTGAGAGAAGGGAAAATCCCAGATTTATTCTTCCACAAATGGCCGGTTCTGACTAAGTTCATCATGAAGCTGACAAGTAAAGAGCCTAGTGTTCGGCCCACGGCCAGGCGGCTCCTAGAGTCTGAACTCTTCTGCAATAAAGAAATGGTATTTTGGGCTGAATAGCTAGTCGATTAATCTATGTTTTACAGTATTGGAGAGTCTATGTTTACATGTTTTATTTATCCAGTTAAATCTAAGCCCTACTTTGTGTGTAGCCAAAAGGGCCCTCATCACTTCTGGTTGATGTCCTTTGATAATAATTACCAACAAGTTGTATTTTTGTGTTTTTCAGGTAATTCGTGGATTGCAGAAAAAGGTTGAGGAGCAGGAGGAGGAGATCACGCAGCTGAGGCTGCAGATCAGTCGGCTTCAGACATCAAAAGTCAGTTAGTTTCTCTGATTTGGACAAGACCTGTGCCTGAAAACCAACAAACAGCCACTGCTGGAAGTGTGTGTGTATGCTGAACATCTGAACATGACGACTTTATAATTTGCCCCATCGTCTTGGTGCTTAAAAGTTAAATTGAGATACAACTGGTTATTTCAGAGAAGCAGTTTGTGACAAAATAACTGACAGTTTGAGCCTTTGTGTTAGTGTGTTTGTGCAGCTCATCTTTTGTGTATGTAACATAAAAACTATTGTAAACATGCTGTGATTCATGTTCATCCTTTACTCTCTAGGAACCTTTTACTCGCTGCTTTGAATGCTACAGGCCACACAAGACATTGGATTTGTATTACGTGGACTCTTAAAAGTGTAGAGGCTCTTATTTTTGCGCTCTTCCTGCTCCAAAGCTGCTGTCACTCGTAGGCTACATAAAGCACATTAGGTCACAGTTAAGCACCGGCGACGGATCTTCCTGAAACACGTTCCTCACGCAGAAGTCAGCCTATCACAGGCGGCGATACATGGCCGGTAGCCGGATGTACCCGTGGGGTAATTAGCTACGTCATTGTTCACCACCGGACACCCGCTGGAAATAAGAAATGGATTTAAAAATGGTATTAACGTGTTCATAACAGTACAGGTAAGTTTCGAGACGCGTTTACGCGTGAATATCATGTTGGCTGCGACGCCGACATGTTTGAGGAAGTCTGAAGTGCCGGGATTCGTTGTAGTAGCTCTACACCGGTTCGGTATGTCATGTCGGAGAGAGCAACGCAGTAAGCCGTCATCCGCCCGGTGTCCTTTCTCAGTTAGCTAAACGTCCTATCAACCAGACTAACACGTTTTAAACAATATATGTTAAAGTGATCCGATCTTAATGGAAGGCGAGTTCAAAGATAAGAGGCTTCCCGTAAAACAAGCCAGTGTCAATGTCCATGCTAACTAGCTCTGTCGTTAGCTGCATTAGCAGACACCGTGCCGCACTAAGCGTTGCCCGTGTCGTTGTGAAAGTGTTCCTTCGGCTCGTTTACGCCGTCGGGTTCACACATTAGTTGCTTATTACGACTCGTTGCTTTTTTTATTAAATGAAGTGTCGTATCTATGTCCCGCCTGTTGGGTAGACTTCGCTTTATTGTGTGCTTTCTTCAAACTGAAATGCGCTGCGTGGTAAAGGCCTTGCTACTGTCTCTTAGCCTGTGTGTAAGTCAGTCTGGAGCAGGTGGGAGGGAACAGCTGCTGCTAATGTGCTTCCGACAAGGAGAGCTGTCCTGTCTGCTTCGGGTGGCTTCACTCAAGCGATCGGTTTATCCATCTAACATCTTTTAGTTCTAGAAGTAGTACTTTAGTTACCTCACAGGGAACATTATAATGTAGGTTTAAAACATTTCGACAGTGCTTCTTTTTGTTGTAACCTGCTCAGATGTTTGCTAGTAACCATTAACCCTTTGATGCATAATGGTCACTACAGTGGACAGGTACTCAAAATTGTTATTTATTTATTTTTGCTATTAAGCACAGCTGTTTAAGACTTTATTGCATTTGAGCCCCTCCATTTGGACTTCAGTAAGCCAAGCCAACATATTTCATGTTCAGAATGCACACTGTCCACTGAGGTGGACATGTAATAAATTATTTGTAAATTATAAAATTTTACAAAAAATATATTTGTTGAAATTTGTTTCATTCACACCTAAAGATGAATGAAAACATTGTTAAAAAAATCATGGTTGAAGATTTCATAATTCATGCATCAAAGGGTTAATGATGTTTATACATGACATCGTTTTTAATTCTAGGTTGTAACAGCGGCTCTAATAGACACATCCAATGTGAGATGATTTAAATTTTCATATTAGTAGTTTTAGAAGTGCAGTTTTCTCCTGAACCAAAACAGAAACCAACACAGCAGCAGTTACATCATTTGATTTGTAGTTGCCAAACTTAACATTTATTGTTGTCACGTTTAACATCACCTGGTGTTATTATTTTCAAATGTAGTTCATAAATTAACGTGCTATCTCTCATCAAATTAGTTGTTTAGATACATCCTGAAAACCTTTTAAATGTTCTAAATCAGACTGATGTTTTTAGTTGCCAAAGTTCTGTTGTATTTGAGCCTTAGCGTGTAGTTGTTGCTTTAAATGAATACACACCTCTTGTACATTTTTTTTCTTGTCTCAGACAAAAGTTTGACACAAAATCATGTTTTCGTTTTGCAGCTTGAAAAATTTTCTGTCTGTCCCAAAAGCAGCTATGAACAATGACCATAGTTGACAGATCGTCAGAGAAGTCTGACCACGAGTCAGTCGGGTTTAACCGATCCTCCTTCGCCAGTGGAGACGTGGGGATGGATGGCAGTTGTTCCAGCAGCTGGGCTGTGGGTCCCACAATGTCAAGTGACTCTCCCAGGCTCAAGTCTCCAGGAGGCTGTCTGGGTCCGACCCCTGGTGCTGCTGTCTACAATAGCACTCCCTCCTCTATGGACCGGCCCAAGGACCAAGGTATGACACTCGTCTGTTGCATTTTTTATGTAGACTTTGGATCTGTCGGCTGATGCTTGAATTCATCACGAGTTACACAAACTACTGCTGATAGTACAAATATGGTTCAATTTAGTTTTTAAAATGGATTTCAAGTAAATTATCTGTTATGTTTTTGCAAATAATTAACAAGCTCTCATCTACATTAGGAGCTGCATGATCTGTTTGTGTGACGTGATCGGCCTGTTTCACAGCAGACTTTAAAGGGGCATTATGGAAGTTTGACAGCCAAAACATGCATAGAAATAATAAATTTCTTCTTCATACATTCTCCTGCAATGCCCTGGTCCTGTAGAATGAGCCCTGGCATTTTTACTGTGATTGCCTGTTTTTCTGTAAAATCACAGAAAAAGAGAGCTTCTCGGGTCGAGCAGGCTGCTTCATGCGCGTTCACGCTCAGGCATAGTAGCCCTCCGAACCGTTCTTTGAACGTTGTTTCAGCTGTCATCAAGAATATAAATGTTACAGATACAAAGGACGTCACTGGCGCGTTAGCTTGCCTAGTAAAACTTCGGGCTTTCGTGCAGAAGACCCGGGTTCGATTCTGGATGTGAACATAGTTGATTTAGAGTTTCTTTTTTACATTAATGGTATATTTTTTTTACAGTAAGATGCCCACATTTTTATTTGAGCCTCGCCGAACGGCACTGAATTCACAGATTAAAAAATATGTGGGTTCAACTTTCATTTTGGAAAAATTTTTCAAGCAAGGGAAGGGAATGATCTGAGCATGCAGGAGGACTGACCCATCATAAACCTTTGTCGGCTATGCTGAAGAGAAAGGTACAGAACCAAATTATTTAATTAATTAGCTGCTTGTTCTCCTGTCCTCTGTCCGCCGACACACACACACACACACACACACACACACACACACACACACACACACACACACACACACACACACACGGGACTGTCTCAGCTGTTATTTTCGTTAAGGAGTGTGCACGTACAGCATGCGCGCCTCGTGCACGAGCCTCCTTTTGAAGCTGCCGTTACGCTTTTGACCTGAGGGGGCAATCGCGAGCATAAAAATTCAACACTCCGTAAAGTCCCTTTAAGGAGGGCTGGATTCCATTTAGAGGAAGTTCAGCTATGCAGAGCTGCAGAAATGAAACAGCACAGTCCACCTGTCCCTTCTATTATTGAAAGTCATGATGTGAATTAGTGCAATTGTTGTGGGTGTTGTTTCTGTTGCCTTCAGCCTTTTCATCCATTTGTTTACGTAACGCAGCCAGTTTGAAAGCAGGGACACAATCAAGTCACTTGAGCTTGTGAAGCAGTCGGCTGATGAAAGTGAAAATGAGCAAGAAGCAAAGTAAATGCTTGCCTCTAATTTTAGCTGTGGTTTTGTGTTTAGTTCTAAGCAGTGGGGATGGGATAGACTCGCCCCAGAAGGTCCTGTTCCATCCAGAGCGGCTCAGCCTGAAGTGGACCCAGGTCCACCGTGTTGGTGCTGGCCTGCAGAACATGGGCAACACCTGTTTCCTCAACTCAGCCCTGCAGTGTCTCACCTACACCCCCCCACTGGCCAACTACATGCTGTCAAGGGAGCACTCCAAAACATGTAAGCAGTTGTGTTTGAATGTTTTTGTTGCTAGAATAGAAGATGGTCTGATTTAATGTTTCACCCTAACATCCACCCACTCTGGTTTTCAGGACCAGTGCAGATTTATCACTCAAGTGCAGCCCTGACGGATTTTGGTAGATTCATCTCAGAACTGTGTTAATAGAATATATAGTTTTGGGATCAACGTAAATATTATGAATCTGGAAGTAAAATTGTCCACATGTGTGGTTGCTGGCGTGAATGGGGTCCTAAAAGTGGTGCATTCACGGATTCAAACATTTTGGATCATGCTGAGCATTCGATGCGATCACCAGAGAGTGTTTGGGTGTTTCTCTGGTTACGCCACAGTAATTTTGTTTTTCTTTGATAGTATTAATAAAAAAAAAAATTCTGCTTAATTAATGTTTTAATTGTCAATCTTCTCCAGGCCACGAACCGGGGTTCTGTATGATGTGCACCATGCAAAACCACGTCATCCAGGTTTTTGCCAACTCTGGCAATGTCATTAAACCCATCGGCGTCCTCAATGAGCTCAAGAGTAAGTGGATTTGTTTGGTGCAAAGCATTAACCTGAATTCAGACACACGTGTGTCCATGTGGCTGCTAATGTTGGGAGGAAAATGTTTTTGTTGTTTTACCCTGGTTTTAGCAGCTTTAGTGTTCAGAACGTCCATGTATTGAACTACAAGTTATTTTTGCTTACACAGGGATTGCAAAGCACTTCCGCTATGGAAGCCAGGAGGATGCACACGAGTTCCTGCGATACACAGTGGACGCTATGCAAAAGTCCTGCTTACCTGGAGCCAAGTGAGTCTGACTAAATGCTGCTGTTGATGCTTAGAACAGTCTCCTTCATGCTAAGCGTCGCGTGTTCACATAAACATTTGTTTGCTTCAGTGCCACTAACCTTAACATCGTTTAAATCTGTTAGGCAGCAGTGACTTGTTTTTACACACAACTTGTTTTATATTGTCCCTGGTTTTTTATTTAGCGATCTGTGAAATGTTTCTTGATAGAAGAGCGTTGCCACACTCTATAATGTTGTTCTTGGGTAGCATCAGTGGCCTTTAGTCGTTCAAACTGAATTTTTCTGTCTTTGTGACAGATTGGACCGGCAAACGCAGGCAACCACCTTCATCCATCAGGTTTTTGGCGGGTACCTTCGCTCTAGAGGTAAGTAATTAAACCTGATATGATTTCTTTTACCATTGCTTCAACCTGAGGTCATGTTTTACATTGTTGTACAATAATTTATTTAAATGTATTTTTTTTTGCAGTGAAATGTTTAAACTGTAAGTCTGTCTCTGACACATTTGACCCTTTTCTGGATATCACTCTGGAAATTAAGGTGATTCAACCTAATTCTTTTCTCCTTTCTGAATTATTTTGTTATTGTTTGGTTAGTAAATGAATAACAGTTTTACCAGAGCTTCTAAAACCAGCAGAAGCTTTTAATCGAGTTGTTGTGTCTGATGCAGACGGCTCCCAGCGTCTCCAAAGCTCTGGAGCAGTTTGTGAAGCCGGAGCAGCTGGATGGTGAAAACGCTTACAAATGCACCAAGTAACCCACCAACACAACAGATGTGCACCAGGATTTTATGTTTTCTTATTTATTGCCATGATGGCTAACTGTTTGACCTTCCTTTTTTAGGTGCAAAAAAATGGTCACAGCCTCAAAGAGATTCACCCTCCATCGCAGCCCCAACGTGCTCACCCTGTCACTCAAACGATTTGCAAACTTCACAGGAGGAAAAATCACAAAGGTACATATTCATGGTGTTATACTCACTGTAGAGCTTTCTAACAGATACATCTGGGTGATATTTTGCTTGTTGTTCACCAGGATGTTAAATATTCAGAATACCTGGACCTGCGGCCCTTCATGTCTCAGTCTCAAGGGGAGGCCCAGGTCTACGGGCTGTATGCTGTTCTGGTCCACTCTGGATTCAGCTGTCATGCTGGACACTACTTCTGCTATATTAAGGTGCTGCTAACGCTACAAGCCTGATCCATCAGAATCCTGCTGGTCCTGAGTATTCCTTTAACCCCAAAGCTCCTACAGACTTTAGCAGATTTAAAAGACACTTAGCAACTTTTTCATATTTGTAAATAATTTCTCGAGCCAGTAGGTGCTAAAATGACCCTTTACAGGGTTAATGAAAGGCCACCCAGCCCTTATCGCCCTCAGTGGCCAGAATATTCCACTTGAGTTGCAACTTCAGAGTTGCTGGTCCGGGTCTGCTGGACTTAGAAAAAGATTGTGTTGACATACCTTGCCCTCCAGTCTGGTTCCAGCATGTTTCCTGTATGTTAGATCAGGAACTCAGCTGATTTGTTTAATTTAGGGATGAACCACTCTTGTAGACTCTAATGAAGGCTGGGGAGACATTTCAGCTGTTAGATTAAGGTGTTAAAAAATGAACGCACAGCAAGGAGAGAAGTTTGTCTTTTGGTTCTACTAAACAAACACTAGGGGGTGCTAAAAGCAAACCAAAACTACCTGGTTTACAATTAAGTGTCAATATGAACATAACAATACTTGAAATTGTTGTCTAAATGTCTGCATGTTTCCTGAAGGTGCTGATTAAACTGCTGTTAGCCACTTTTGTATTTATCACATCCGAACTAAACTCAAGTGTTAAAACCTCTGCCTGTCGTGTGTCCCAGGCTAGCAACGGTCAGTGGTATCAGATGAACGACTCCTCTGTGTCTGTGAGCGACATCCGGTCTGTCCTCAACCAGCAGGCCTACGTTCTCTTCTACATCAAGTGAGTCAGGCAGAGCCAGCATTTTGAACATCTTACTGTGGATGTTGGTTGCATGGTTTAGTGGTGCTCGTGGTGATTTTTGAAAAGCTGAAGCTTTTACAGAAGCATAGAGATGACTGATTAGAGAAGGGGCTGGGCAATAAATCAAAAATGTATCGTCATCAAAATTTCTGACTTATCGAGATCATTTTCCCTTGATAATAAATTCGATAATCAATCAAATGAAAAGATGTGTGTAGGTTGGCAACTTTCATGTCCCTTTAAGAAGTTGTACCGTAAAACTGTGACTCAAGCTAATACATGTGACAGCTCCATCTAGTGGACAACTTTAGTTTCTGCACATACCTGTAGTTATCGTCCATTTATCGCTATCGAGGTGAAATCCTCAGTATATGGTGATGTTGATTTTTAGCCAGGCCTGCCAGGCATGTCCTCTGTCTACACAGAGAGCCAGTCTGGTTACTCACAGGCAGAGAAGCACATGAGGGGCGGGACTAGCCGGCTCAAAAAGAACCAATCAGAAAAAAGGCAGGAATGCAGACTGTACCGCGCAACACGGTAGTTTCTTTAGCTGTAGTCAACAGTGACGTCTGGCTCTACTTGCTGCTGTTTTTAAAGACGTGTTCAAGTCATTTAAAACAGAGTAAAGAGCCGCAGCGAACGCCGCTTCAGTCGCCATGTTTATGACAAACTCAGCATTGCAGTGTGTGTCTGTGTGATGCACGCTGCTCAGCTCTGATTGGCTCTGTTAGAATTCTCAGGGGGTGGGTTTATTGGAATAGAAGCGTCCCATGAGTAAGCATGGGGCTGGCTGTTCAGGCTAGTTGATTCTAGGCCACATTGCCCAGCCCTACCCTATTCTTACCTCTGAAACAATCAGAGTATCTGTACTCATTTGAGTTCATTTATATTTTACATAGAACATTAATTGGAATCTAATGAAAATACACCAATTGTAGCCACATGTTTTTATTTTAAAAAGTTAAGCTGCAGATGTAAAGGATTACGAAACATCTGGGAGGTTTAAAATCAGCCTCTGTCAGGAAAATATCTAAAATATGTGTCTGTGGCATCACCAGGTCCTCTGATGTGAAGAAAACGGCAGACTACGGTAACTTAGGTCACAATAACCCCGGCGTCTGTGGCCAGTCGTCTCCAAGGCCTGTGGCGGCCCCGCGCGTCCACAACAGCCTGGGCTTCATTGGCCCCCAGTTACCACCTCACATGACCAAGGTACTGACTGAACCTTCACACTTTTCCGCCATTTTGACTTTGTGTTCGCCACCATGTGTTCACATGTATCCCGTTTCCTCAGAGCTCTCCCCATGTGAACGGGAATGGATCTCTGAAGGAATATCCCTCCAGTTCCAAGGCTGGAACCAGCAGCAGTGCAGTCGGAAAGCCCGGCCACGGACCGGCCACTTCCTCCATTTCCCACTCCGTCAGCCGCCCTACAGCGATCCCAGAGCAGGAGAAGCGACAGAAGCTCTCATTTTTCATCGGGCAGGGCAAACAGAACCGACCCTACTCTTCATCTTACAGCCAGCCGTCCTCTGCCAGCAGCTCCTCCTCTTCCTCACAATCTACCTCAGAGGTTTGCTTCGTTCCGCGTCAGCTGAACCATGTTAATGGCACGTCTTGCAGCAATGGGGATCACTCCAACGAGAACGGATCGTCTTTCCTTGTTCCGTACAGCCAAGAGTCTTCGGAAGAATCGGATCAGGAGAACTGTGGCTCTGTGGAAAATGGCTGCTTATCCAAGGGTCCGTCTATGGAAAATAACACGGAAAGTATGTGTTCTGCTAAAAAACCCGATGGTGATTCAGAAGTGCATCAGAACGGCCGTGAAGTAAATGGACCAACACAAGGAGTCTCTAAACCCACCCAGAACGGGCACGCTCACGGACACCCCGGTGTGAACGGACACAGCACACTTGAAGAGGTAAATGATGCTCGTTAACCTGTAAAGATTAGCTGTTTAATGTCGTCTAACAGTGGTATTAATGATCCTCAGAGCTGCGTCGGTAACCACAGCAGCCCATCCTCCATCAGCACTAACGGACTCAGCACTGACCACAGTCAACTAAAGTAAGAATAACGTTCTCGGCTGTTGTTGAGATGTGAAATCTGGTTCCTTTCATTCGTGAGATTAAAATAATTACCACAAAGTTAATTTGTATTATTCTTGTTTCCAGCAGAGAAAGGCCAGACCCTGCTTCATCCCAGGCCAGTTCTTCCCAGGACGTTCAACCTGCTGCTAAAGAAAGCGGGCTCTTTCCTGCTGCCGACTCCAGGGCTAAAACATCGTCTGAACCTCTGCCTCACCACGCACCATCTTCTGCTGCCAGCTCCCCACCTCCAGCTACAAACGGTGTTCTCTCCCAGCATCTTGAGAAGACAACGGTTTTATCCTCACAGGCAGATGGCTGCCAAAGCTCCAGGGGGTTGGGTGTTCCTCAGAAGGCTAGCAGAAGTGAGGATGAATCCAAGGATTCCCCACAGACCAACGGTCCATCAGCAGGAACTGAAGGACCAATGGAAAGTGAAGGGATGTCTAAACCCAGCTCTAGAGGTAACAAAAGGCCGCTGTCCCCAGACAAGGAGAGGCACAGATCCTACTCTGACTTTGACAGAGACAGACACTACAGAAGCAGGAGTCCAACCAGAGATGCTCACAGTGACCGTCATCGGTACAGGCGGGACCACAGGAATCACTACCGCCCTTACAGGGATCGGTTAGCCCCTCCTGAGCATAAATACAGAGACTGGGAGCATGAGCGTCGCCGAGACCGAACCGTCCCTCACCACTGGGATCATGAGCAGGGCAGACGCTCTTATTACTACAGCCACCACCGATTTGATGTGGTCCACGAGCAGAGGGGACACCCCTACCGCGATGACTCCCACAGTCGGTGGAGGTGGCAGCAGTACAGTCGAGAGTCCAGAGCTACAAAGGACAAAAGAAACGGCCGGGACAAAGACTATTACCGCTCAAAGGAGAGGAGCTCTTCCCCCGCTGTAACAAACAAGTCCAAGCCCCCCCTCCCACAGGCTCGCCCCTCCCACTGCGAGTCATCTCTGAAGAAGGAGGAGCAGAGGGACAGCAGGTCTGCTGATCACACCAGGAAGGAGAGGGACAACAGCTCTGAGGCTCACCGCTCCAAAAGACATAAAAAAAGCAAGAAGAAGTCTAAAGATAAAGAGCGGCATCACAAGAGCGGGTGAGTTCCGACCCAACGTCCTGCTCCAGTTTAACGTTGAATGTACCGTTACAGTAGGTAACTAATAGTTGTCAACAAAAAACCTTACTCTATAGAGATCATTTGGCTTTTTATTGTTTCCTGCTTCCTGAACAGCCTCTGTTTGGAGAAATGGGCCCAATCTCAAAACTCTCACTGCTTCCTACGCCCTTCTGTCAAGTGCAATTAGAGGAGGCTTCGGGTGTGTGAGTGCCCAATTGGGACAGGGAGCATTATGTCATCAACCACGACGCCTGACGGGGATGCCTGTCACTGTTTGTGCAACTTTTAAAAAAAATATATCTTTATTAACAACTTTCAAACATTTATTTGACAATTTAAATGCATTGCTGTCTAAATTAATTCTTAGTCTAAAACGTCCAGAACATGGATAAATATGAACGTCTTTTGTTGTGAAATACACATTTTCAGAAAAGGCACTTGAGCCACTGCTCTGCCTTCTCAAAATTCCCATTCAGCAATGGATTGTGGGTATTACCCTTGCCCGAAGTCTGCGTCAATGTGTAACTGGGTGAAGTGCAGATCAAGGGTGCAAAAGAGGCATGGTCACATTCCACAGTTGAGAGTCATGGCACTCGACACACTCGCAAAATTGAAGGGCGCAAGGCAGATGAGTGCGAGTACTGGGATTGGGCCATAGTTTACGTTCAGCAGGACTGAGGAGCCAATGGCTAGTCTGGACTATAACTGGAGTGTGTCTGAACAACAGGAAAACATCACGTTAACATTTTAGCTTATAGCACCGGTGCTACGAAGGTTGTAGGTTTTGTAGCACAGAACAAAAAGTTGTAGCACCAGCATAAAAATTCTGTTAGTCTCTAAAAACAAACAGTAGTTCATATAATGAAAACACAATAGCAAGCGACCATCAAAGCAGTTTCCTGGGAATGTGAGTCTCACTCACGTACTTGGCAATAGAGCTGATTCTGAAATATCTTCAGGAATGTTTATTTGTCACTGTAATCTCAAAACCAACGCTTTCATTTATTGTGCAGGTTGTGTTTTTGTTTCTTTGCATTCTTTGGGTTCGCGTGGTTTGCTTCCCTGTTGAAAAAGGAGCTTCAGCTATCAAATATTTTAGTATTCAAATCTTCTATTGAATAATCAAATATTCTATTTGACAACCCTTCAAGTGGAATCAGACTGTGGTCTGCTGCAAAACAATCTGAAATAAAACAAAGTTGTGAGGCTTATTATAAAAGTTTCAATAATATGTATTTAATTGGTATTTTCCCACCTGATGTTTAGTAAAAAAATATTTTACAGATATTTTCTGACCTACATTTCAATAACCTTTCAGGTTTGTATTACTATCACTCATGCTAGTCGAAGTAACATATCTAATGTATACACATGATCAGTAGAATTTAATGTATTTCATTAACATGTTCTGCTGTAAGCTACTGGAAATGCTACTAACATTTAATTTCTACGGTAACAATGGAATGGTGGCAGATCTAGGCAGGTTGTACAGTTTACTTTGTTCAAAGATAGAAGCGTTTGTGAGTTGTTACATACTACAATGGCTTTCCATTATCGCTGTAGCGACATTGAGCAGGTTACTTTGAGCAGCAACAGCACCTAATTACCACGTAGTGCATCAGAAACAAACTATTTGTAGATTGGTCTCAGCCCTAGTTTGAAATATCACTCCAATTTTCTCAATTGTGCCTGATTCTCTGAAGCGCGTGCGTACACCATACACAATATGGCCGAACGATGTTAGGAAAACCTGCTGTGTGCGAAACAACGATGAATATTGTGATGACAAAATGACTTGCAATTAATAAATACTTAAAAGATGTGAGGAAAGGGAAAAAGAAAATTAAGAAGAAAAAAATCAGTGAATCCTGGAAAAAGGAGACTTGGCAGAAAGAGCAGAACAAAGCTAACTCAGGTGTTTGCTAACCATCCAAATTAAGTGACGTCCACCTAGGGGGCGGGCTTCTAACCTATGAGAAGCCACTGGATTGGCCAATTGGATTAAGAGCTCTATTTTATTTGTCAAAAACTGAATTCATTTTGTCAATCAAACAGAAGCATGATGTGTGTTTGACCGGGCCACTCATTGTTTTTTTCTGTTGTTTGCATTTTTTCTGTTGTTCGCGATACGCCTATTGCACGTGCCGATATCGCAATGACGATACATTTGCTGTGTGTTGTACAGCCCTGATATACGAGTAAACTTGTGAGAACACGGAGGCATTGTGGGAAATGTAGTAGAATGTAACCGTAACTACATTGACGAGATAACACTTTATCACAATAGACTACAACCACTATTTGGCATTGTGGCGTGCCACGGCTTTGCCTGACACATCTTCCTTCACAAACAACAAGTAGCTTACCTTTGTTCAATAAAGTTCTGGGGAAAAAAGTAACTAGAAAAGTTGTAGCACCAGGGCTACGTCTAAAAATAGTTTATCGCACAGTTTTTCATCGTACGTGCAACATATTTGTAACACTGCACAGCCTTGGCCTATGTTGTATAGCACCTTCTAGAGTTCCACAACTCCCCAAGTTGCTTTACAACACATTCAGTCATTAATCCATGCTCACACATTTACAAGCTGCTGGTGATGAGCTACAATGTAGCCACAGCTGCCCTCGAACACACTGACAGAGGCGAGGCTGCTGAGCGCTGGCGCCAGCAGTCACTCCGACAACCAGCAGGCGAGATGGGTTAAGCGTCTTGCCCAAGGACACAACTGGACGTGCACTGCCATTGTCGTCCCACACATACTGGTTTGTGTTTATTATTCTGTGTTTGGAGGCAGAGTGGTGAACCCTAGCTTATGTAACCAGGTCTGTCTCCTGTTTTCTGTACTCCTAAAGCTCAGACGTAGACTCGGACCGAGTCACTGACACACGAAAAAAGAAGAAAAAGAAGAGGAGGCACCGGGACAGCGACTCCGAGCCAAGGAGTCCAGACGCAGCTCGAGGTCACAACAGCAGGAGCAGTGAAGAAGGGGAGAGTCGTAAACGGCATCACTCTCAGATGAAGGACTCTAAATACGACCGTGGCTTTACACCCGAAAAACGCAGCCGCACAGACTTCAGCGAGGACCGCCTACTCCTTCCACACCACAACCCGCCTCCAGACGATACACCTCACCACCACCTGAACAGATACACAGGTAGCTCCCCGACCAGTCGTGTGCAGATGAATGTTGACGTGGAGGTTTGGGCCTAACGTGTTGATCCTGTTGTAGGAAACGGTTCCAGCAGAACCGGCAGCAACTCCAATGGTTACAAACACTGATCTGTAAGTGTGGCTCCACTTTAAAGTCATGAAACCGAATCAGTACCAACAGATGACTGTTGTTGTTCTGGTTACAGACGCATCTAAACCATCTGACAACAGCAGAGGAATGATATCCAGAACTTTCTGACGTGGTGCTTCTTCACTGGAAATGAAACATTTTACCAGAACAAGTGTTTTAAATGTGCAAATATACCTTCGTCTGTTTTGTTTTCTCACCATAACTCTTCTAAGGTCTAAAAGAAAACCATCAGTTCTGATGACAGATATTAATATATATATACCAGTTTGAATACAAACAAAGCCTGGAGCTTAAATATCTCAGTTGCTGCTCAGTGGAACTCAGGACTTGTGAACTTTCTACCATCACCCAGTTTTCCATCTGCTTCAGACCAGAGTGAAGCTAAGGGAGACGTGCGATGCAGCGTGCTGAGTGAAGGTGTAGGATGTCACCGTATCTGCAGAGCTGCCATGTTTTAGGTTTTATTTGTTGTTGACCCCGCTGCGTGTGGGCAGATGTTTATGAATGAGGCAGACAAGTGCGGTGCTGACTGACACCACCATGGGAACCCTGGACAGACTTGAGGACATTTCTCAGATTTTGTTGATGTTTTTGTTGTTGTTTTAAACGCATCTTGGTGTTTGACGCCTAAGATTCACTTTTTAAAACGGTCTGCAGAGCTCTCTCCGTCTGCTTCTTTCCTCCTCTTCTTTTCATGCATTCCATGATGCATTCAAAAAAGTTTTTTAATCATGGCTGTGGACCATTGTTAGACCTTTATTTTGTTAACGACACATACAGTTTGTTTCTTCTAGTATCAACAAAAAATACTGTGAATTTGATTTGAACTGTATTATCAGTTACTCTTCTAAAAATCCTGCATCAGGATTCTTTTGTTTTTAGGGATCTTGTGTTAATTTTGACGATGTTCTCTGGAGGTTAGTCAGTAGTGAGTATGATTAGCCTGAACGAGTTTCCTTTCAATTTCTCAACCCTAGACAGGCTGAGAAAACTGCTCTTCTACCTTTCTGTTAGCATGTCTGAATTTATACGTTGTATAAGGTAAAGGCCTTAAATGCATTTGTTAATGTCAGAAATTGTAATTCTTTTGTCCTTGGACTTTGTTTACAATCTGTGTTGATGAATGAAAAACGGTGGTTGAGATGTTGATTTACTGGCTTTTGTGTTTAGCAGGAAAAAGGCTGATTGTATTTGAGCCTGATGAACATTTTTTCAAGTTAAATTTATATGTAAATTCACTCTTCATGCTTCTAAATAACCCAGATCTGTAGGATGGACACACACACACACACACACACACACACACACACACACACACACACACACACACACACACACACACACACGTATTAACTGTTTCCACACCTGAAATAACCAAAGACTGGCACATTTCTGAGCTCTTAGAGAATCCACATGCACGCTACGGTATTAGCATGTATCTTTATTCAGATTGTACATCAAAGTATTCAGCTGTTTTTCTCAAGGATCACATCATTCACAGTGCTGTGAAAAAGCAGTGGCCTCACACGTTTTTGTCACTTAAATGTTTGTTTTCAGATCAGTAAACAAATTTCATTATTAGAGGCGAATAACCTGAGTAAATACAAAAGTGTTTTCAAATGATGATTTCACTTAATGGGGAGACCAACCTGTGAAACCATTTGTTATTTTTGCCAGAATCATCATTTGGTTCAGCTATATTGAACAGCCTGTTTAAGGTCAAAGGTCAGATTTTCTCCAGGATGTTTTACTGAAGAGCAGAATTCATGGGGTGTTTCTATATGTCAGGGAACCTGGCCTTGCCTTTGCTGCCAGGAAGGGCACCTTGCTAACGAGGACACTGTCCTTCCTTGGTCAAAGAAAACGGTTAAATGGAACTGACTATCACGTGACACGTGAGGTAAAGTTAATTTTCACACGAATAAGTTTTAACGAATGTAAAACGAGCCTTTTACTTCTTTTAATTGTGTGCATATTGGTTAAATGAAATATGTAAGCGAGTTACTACCTGCTAGCCACCGAAGCTGGAACTATTAACCTGAAACTAACCACTGTGGCTCTAAAAAACTTGTTAGATATCAGCCTGATGGCTACAATCAGTTGAGGAGCCATCCTTTCCATGCTGCTTTCTGGGAAATTTTGACCAAGAGAAGGCAATAAGGCCTGTTAGCTAAACGGCTAACAAACAGGACAGACGCCTTGGTGGCACATGAACATTGTAACCAATTGGAACACACCTTGGCGGTTCCTGATGACATATCTCCTAGGCAACTGGGGTGGGATCAAGGTGAGGTTCAATGATGGTGAGAAACAGCCAGTTACAGCAGGTGGTTCTGAAGTTGCCCCAGACCACTGTACTACTACCACCGTGCTTGAATAATATATTTCCCCCCCTGAATAGCAGCCAGTTTCTTCAGAAATTTTACCATAAAGTCTCACACCTTCGAGATGTTTTTGTGTTCTTGGCCAGCAGAGGTTTTAGTCATGGAAGTCTCCGTTCCATTGATTTATATAGCGCCAAATCACAACAAGAGTCGTCTCAAAGCACTTTGCAAAGTAAACATTCCAATTGAACCTGCTTGTCAGTGCGTTGAGTTCAGGTCATTATGCCAGTTAGATTATCGAGTCACTGACTTGTGTCAGTGTCTTTACAGCAATCCTCATACTAAGCAAGCATGTGGCGACAGTGGAGAGTAAAACTCCAGCAGAATCGGGTCAGTATAAGCAGCCATCTGTTTTCACAGCACTGTAAGATTCTGAAGTGTTGATGCCCGTTTGCAGAGCAGCAGCATTTACAATCTGCTCAGCAATACCCGAGTTACCGTATGAAGTCCCTTTTCTTCCACCGTTATACGTTGATGGGTGTCAGACTAAAAAGATGAAGGCTTGATTAACACAAACAATAAAAAACAATGTACATTACATACTATACATGTTAAATGTAACTGGAGGGCTGCCTCTTTTGTGACACAATAAGAAAATAAATATGAAAGAAAACGACACCGAATCCAAAAGTGGATCCTAGATAAACAAACACCTTCAGCTGAAGTTGACCAGCTTTTGTAAACCGTTTCCTGAATCCCGTCTGTTGGCATCCAGAGATGAGATTCTTGGGCTGATATTAAGTGATTCCATGGACTAAGTGAGTGTTTGCATATAATCAATGAGCTACCAATCAGACCAGCTGATCGATGAGCTCCAGGCTTTAAAACCATGTTGGAGGAGGTGATGCTGAGGTTTTTAAGTGAAGTTGGTGTGATTCCCTACACGTCCAGCAGGTGGAAACTTCTTCCCAGGAAAGACGTTTGGATTGCTCTGACCCACTCTGCTCTTCATCATTGTTCAGGTTGGTGAAGGTTTCATTCACAGTGACATGTCTGCTTTTAAAGTCTGTGTCGACGTAAATCAAATCTTCACATCTGTTTCAGAGAAGACCAGAAGTTCAGGAATTCTCCAGGAACCCACACACACACACACTGGCTGCTGGCTGCAGAAGTGATGCTGAACTCATTTCTTATTGGCTATCCTCCTCTTCCTGGTGGCCAGCATGTCATAGAACGGATCCCTGCTGATGCTCGCCCTGCAGAGGACAGGAGGGAGCAGATTATTGATTGTCCAATAAAATTCATTAGTGTTGTGGACTCTTATGTTTTTGTAATCTGTCAGCAAATATGCATCCTGTTTTGTGTCTGCTCTGTGGTTTGGTTAGGAGAAGGTGATCTAGAAAACCTTATTCATGTTTTCACCTCTAAAACCCAATAAAAATGTTCATTTTTGCCCTTAAATAAATCTTTTCTATCAGCGTGGGGGTCAAAGGATCAAAAATCTTCTCTGATGGGGAAATTTACACACCAGATGGGCAAACCATTTAAAATGCAAGACGGGTGCTTGTGAAGTCAAAATCAGTGATTTAATGAGAAAGAAGATTTATTAACACGCCTACAGATAGGGAGGTAGGAGTTGCGCTTCCTGTTGTAGATCCCACTCTGTTCTTCCTTCAGTTCTGTCTTTTTGAGCTTTAAAACATCAGGATAAAGAGCTCTGTTACTGATGTTTGCTGAAAACAGTTTCCTGCCTGAGAGAAAACAACCCAAGGGTGAGCCGAACCTGAAATAGAAAGCAAACACTGCAGCGTTTAGAAAAGCTGCAAGGCTAAGTAAAAATTAGAGAATTACTTCCAAATTCGAGATATTAAAAGACACCTAAGTACGGTCAGCTCTGCTCTGCCTTTAAGAGTGACAGATTTGTGCTGTGCACTAAAAATGCTGAGTAGTAAGTTTTACCAGAAACTGATGGGTTGTGATGCTGTGTGTGTGTGTGTGCGTGCGGGTGCGTGTGTGTGTGTGTACATGAATTCTGGCTACTGGGCAGCCTGCCGCCTCAGTAGTTTAATCCAGGTCGAAGTGTGACTGCAGCAGAGCTGCTCGGTTCTGCTGATTTCAGCCTGTAATCTTTATTTTTCTGCCAGTGATAAAGGTTGTCCTCTAAATAATCTATCTGGAAGAGAAATCAAACTTCCTGGTTTCATCCAAGCTGAAATTTTCAAATCAACCTTGCTCAGTAAGATTTCAGGGGCTCAGCCCTCATTTGCCCTTTTTCATTTAAGGGATACATATCAGCTGGTGCTAAGAGGTTTTATAACATTATTACAGCACAAAACAATTGAGTAATATCACTTTCTGCCTTGATATTGACCGTTTTTGCTAGAGAAGCTGAAGCAGACTGGTTGATGGCCAAGTGAGCCAATCGATAATGCACCGGGTCCAATTTACAGCACTTCCCTTTCCCCCGCTGGAGATCAGGGCAGCATTTGGATAAAAGGCATAAAACACTTCCAAGTATGCAGCAGTGTTGAGCTGTGTGTGTGTGTGTGTGTGTGTGTGTGTGTGTGTGTGTGTGTCAATGTCAAGGTCAAATATGAGAAAGTCTCACGTGGGAGCATGCAGGCGCTGGCTAAGTGCCCTCTAAGTGTAAATGGATCCACACCAACACGCCGACTCTTACTTGATGGACTTGATCCACTCCTCCTTCTCCTCCTGGGTGGGAGCCGATATCCTGTACACAACGTGGTTTCCCTCGACGACCCGCCCATCCGCCTCTGTCTTGCAGGCCTTGATAACCTGACCTTTATGGCTGGGGTTGTAGAGCTCGAAGCAGTTCTGCAAAGACGACATCATGATGTGGACATTGTCATTAACCCTGACCCTTGCTGTCCCACCCATGCATCACGAAAACCTCAAAAGTTTCATCTCCCAGGTGTTTGAAGTAATCTTTAGTTAAGAAAATTCCTTTTTTCCTTTTTTTCGAACATAATCTTTCATCATGTCCACTCAAGTTGAGGAGATGCATTTTGAATTTAAAATGTTTTGCAGTGAGAAACTAGTCAAATGTGGTGGTTGATGTGTAAATGTACCTGAAACGTCCACACAAACATATTAAAAAGCTTCTGAATAGCTGTCCACTGTAGTGACACCAAACACGAAAGGGTGAAAGTGAGTTACTAGATTTGGACCTTACAGGCTTCCGTGGCTCCTCCACCTCTCTGATACTGAGGTTTTCCAGTGGAATAATCCCACGAGGTTCTTTATCCTGATGACACAAACACAGTTTTCCTGAAACATTAAAGCCATGTGAGCAAAAACGGATCCACCTCGGGACCCCCTCCACATTCACCAACTACCACTCCAATAACCCTAACCCTAATCTGACTTTGTTAACATAACATCAATGTTAAAGATATAGTTCAAAATCCAGTTGAAAATAAATCAAAACAGCAAGGATGAGATTTAAAGTAAAGATTAATATTTTATTCACAAATCCAACACCTGACACAATTTTTTTTTAAAGGCCCTAACTTGTCATGTCACATCTGTTTTCTCTAGTTACGGTTAGTAAATTTGTTTTGTGTGATTTAGCTCTGAGTAAACACGATTTTACAGATAGGTTTGAGTCCAGTTTTCAAAGCGTTTGAAAGGAGTTCCCCAAGGCTTACTGCTAGGCTCTATTCTATTCTCCATTTTTATCAACTCCAACATGGCTATCGCTAAAGTGTGCCTTTATGCAGATTACATCATTCTTTGGTTGACTGAATCATGCTGTTCGGGATCTTGAGACTATCTTTTAGCAGTTGATGACAGAAATTTAAACTGGAGCTAAATGTAAATTAAATCAATGTTATGGTTTTTTTTTATTTGTTCCCAGATCTCAGATATTTTTGGTATTTCTACTTTATAAAATGACTTATACTACAAACAACTAAGTATTTTGGCTGGATCATCACCTTTTCCTTTAGAGCGCACACTGACCGTTTAGTTTAAAAATTACAGATTAGACTTTTTTTTATTGAACTAAGGCTTGTCATAATTCATCTTTTGACTGGCCGATGGCCCTGTCCTCGGACACCTCGTGTGGAGGGTGCTACGAGTTTGGGCTACTGGGGTCAGGATAGGACAGGTCTTTCTTGTGAGCCTGTTACCTTCTCAAAAAAGTCTTGTTTTAAATGTTCTAGACATCACCCACACTCAGCCACTAGTTCTATATTCCATAGCTTTTAGTATGTGTCACACCAAGTAAACATTACATTTGGACATTTTCAAAAGCACAGTCAAGAGCTATTGTCCTTGAGTCTGCTCTTCTTTAGAGTTTCCAGAATTTTTTTCCAAATCTGGCCAAACGTTGTTCTTTTCCATTCTGGTGATGGAAAAATCTTCAGACCACAATAAAGCTGTTAGTGAGAGTTCATAGCTCCTAAAAAGTCCTGTGAAAAGACCTGTGTGTCCACTATTTTCTAACCAGTTTGAGGTTAGCTAGTGAAACACATTTCCTCCACAAAGAATCAGGGCAATTATAAAAACACTCTGATGGTTTGAAATGATCGTGGTCATGGGGGTACACCACCCATGTGAGGAGTGACCCTAAAGTTTATCCTCCGCCAGCTGCTTTTGTGTCTGATGGGCCAGATGTGAAAGAGGGGGTGTGAGTGTTGGGAGGAAGGTGGCTGTGGGGAGACCTCGAGGAACAGCCAGCTTGTCATCTTTCCTCTAATGAGGGGGCAAAGCAGGGGGGAGGAAATGCCCTGGGACAGCTGCTAACAGCTGGCTGAGTGTGTGTTCAGGGACTCCTGGCTGTGAGGTGGATGGGGGGGAGGAGGTGTGTCCAGATGTACTGCTGTGGACTTGCAGATGTTTCCAGTAATGCCTCATGTTAATTGCTGGAGTGTGGCTCATTTCAGTCAAGTGGGATTCCATGCGTTATTAAATCTGCAGGGCAAAACCCTCACGCTTTGGTGTGTGAGTGTGTGTGTGTGTGTGTGTGTGGGGGGGGGGGGGGGGTGTAACAGAGGAAGTAAAAATATGGACTCTGTGTGGTTCATGTTGTTATTGTTTGAATGCTGTTAAGCGTTTGAATAATTTCCTGCCCTTTCTCTCTCTAACCTTCCTGCATGCTGCATGTTTTCTCCGTCTTCTAGAAAAACTGTTTTCTAGATTTCCTACTTTCTAACTAATCAGCCAAAGGGATCTACCGAACGCAAAAAAAAAAAAAGCTTCATATGCGCTGTGCCCCAGCAATGAGTTGAAATCACCGGGGCACAGATTATGAACTCAGCTGAAAAGTACATGAAGTACCAGAGAATATGAACTGATATAAACGATCGCAAACAAATTATTTTGTTTTGGTGGAGCGATTTTGTGAATATAACAGCGGCCGCGCGCAGGACGCAGCTGGAGTATTTGAGCCATTACTGCTGCGTCCTCTCTGCTCATGGAATGCCCGCAAAGCTGAGTCCATAAATGACGTCATATATGTGGATACTGGATCTTTTTTCAGGCTTCCCGCAATTTGAATTTTTAGGAAACCCACATCTTGATTCTGGGTTTAAAAATGCATTGTAATTACCGCGTTACTGACAATTGTACCGAGTAAATATTACCATTTTCTTTCCCTGTAATGCCTTACATTACCACATTACAGCAAAAAGCAATGCATTACAGTAATTAATTACTTTTGTACCGCGTTACTCCCAACACTGCTTAAAACTAGCAGCATAGCTGACATTTTAACACTAGTCTGAAGGCAGGAACCGCCCCCTCCTCCTTCGCTGCTCTCTCATTGGCTGAGAGTTTTGAATCGTCTTCTGCCTAAAAGGAAATGTGCACCCACACATATGGTACATCAATTCAACCTGCTTGGTCCCAGGAGTCTTGTATCAACTTGATTTTGTGTTCTGTGTTACCATGGCAACGTGCTTAGCAACAATATTTAACAACATTTTAGAAACAACTGTATCAACATACTTTAATATAGAAATGTTATTCAAAGTTTAAATGAGTCATGTGGTATTGTACATAGCTTTATTAATGCAGACTCCTGTCATCTGTTACCATGGCAACACAAGGAATTACATATCACTTTAACCAAGTCTCATAGGAATGAATATAAAAAGCAGAATATTGACCCATTAACAGACTCCTGTTTTTGATCTTTTTGAACTGTTTGTACTTAAAACTAGAAATAAGTTCATTTTGATTGACCGTCAGAAGGTGGGAAAGTGCCCCGCTCCCTCCCAGTTCCCTGATTGGTTGAGAGAGGTCAATCATCTTCTGGCTAAATGGAATTACACACCCATGCATGTGAGACATCAAATCGATCGGCTTGACCTAAGGAATCCATCCATCTACATATAAATCCATACATGCTTTTATCCATTCATCCATCCATCCAATAATCCATCTAACATCCATCCAACAATCCATCCGTTATTTCATTAATCCAACCATTCATCCATCCCATATCAAATCTAAACACATGCTAATCTATCAGTTTCAGATATGTACCCGTTAAACTATTCTCATTCAAATGCCAGCTGTTTAACATTTCGAGTTTTTAATAAATGTTCAAAGATTAACGTTTTCTACTGTTTAGCATTTTTTATCCATTCTTCACCTATATTCATTTTTTAAGCTTCATTAAGACAAGAAGGCTAAAATGTTCTATTCTAAAAGGCTAAAATGAAGTAGGTGCAGTTACAATAAAGGCCACCGGAGGGCAGCATTTTCCCACCTTCTCTTTATTCCTTACTGCTGTTTGTTGCCAGCAGAGGGCGCAAATTTCCCAGTCTTTTAAGTAAACAAACGGTGTTTAGAAGAATTTAGATGAAGTGTTTCTTCCAAGAAAGTATTTTAACTTTATTAATCAAGATCCATCTCCTTCTTCAAATCCTCCACTTTTTCCTCCACAATATTAATGTTCCCAAAAGGTTTAAAATAAAGATCAGGATTTTTTTAAAGCTTCATTCAAATAAGGAGACTAAAATATTTTTCTTCTAAATGGCAAAAACGAACAAAGTAGGTTTTCAGGATACAGCCTTTGAAGGACAGCAACTCCCCATCTTTCTTTTATTAACTGCTGCTGGAAATATAGTGCTGTTCTGTTTATTGCTAGCAACGAGCTCAAATTTCCCATTCTTTTAAGGAAAAAAAAACAGTGTTTGGAAGAAATTAGTGTTTCTACTAAGGAAGTCCTTTACCTTTTCTAATTCAGATTCATCTCCTTCAAATCCTCCTCCTTCTCCTTCATAATATTATAATTCCCAAAGTGTTTATTAAAAAGATTAAGATTTTTTAAGCTTCATTAAGACAAGGAGGCTGAAATGTTCTATTCTAAATGGCTAAAATGAAATAGGTGCAGTTACAGCAAATAGCCACCAGAGGGCAGCATTTTCCCACCTTCTCTTTATTCCTTACTGCTGTTTGTGGCCAGCAGAGGGTGCAAATTTCCCATTCTTTTAAGGAAAAAAACAGGGTTTGGAAGAAATAAGTGTTTGTACTAAGGATGTCTTTTACCTTTACTAATACAGGTTCATCCCCTTCAAATCTTCCTCCTTCATAATATTATAATTCCCAAAGTGTTTATTAAAAAGATTAAGATTTTTTTAAGCTTCTTTAAGACTAGGAGGCTAAACTGTTCTATTCTAATTGGCTAAAATTGACTGAGCGTAGGCTTCCTGGTGGCGCAGTGGTTAGAGCTGTTGCCTTGCATCAAGAAGGTCCTGGGTTTCGCTTCCCAGCTTGTGGTCTTTCTGCATGTTGTACATGTTGTACAGTGCCTTGTGATTTATAACTATGAAAGGTGCTATATAAATACACTTTTACTTACTTACTTACTTACTAAAATGAAATAAGTGCAGTTGCAGCAAATAGCCACCGGAGGGCAGCATTTCCACCTTCTCTTTATTCCTTACTGCTGTTTGTGGCCAGCAGAGGGCACAAATTTCCCATTCTTTTGAGGAAAAAAAAAACAGTTTGGAAGAAATAAGTGTTTCTACTAAGGATGTCTTTTACCTTTACTAATACAGGTTCATCCCCTTCAAATCCTCCTCCTTCATAATATTATAATTCCCAAAATGTTTATTAAAAAGATTAAGATTTTTTTAAGCTTCTTTAAGACTAGGAGGCTAAACTGTTCTATTCTAATTGGCTAAAATTGACTGCACGCAGGCTTCCCGGTGGCGCAGTGGTTAGAGCTGTTGCCTTGCATCAAGAAGGTCCTGGGTTTGCTTCCCAGCTTGGGGTCATTCTGCATGTTGTACA